CGTGGTGAAAGGCGAAGTAGGAGAAAAGCAAGCCAAAAAAGAAACATGTTTTGGGCAAACAGGGGAAATACTAGAAGTAGATGTAAATTAGCACAATGAACATCAAAGAAAGAGGTAAAGCTGAAGCGCACAACGAACGGATGCGAGGGGTCTATTTGATAGGGTTTATCAAATAGGAGGTTCACCCTTTATCGTACTTTGTAAGTGAGGACGAATCACTTAGGTCATTTTACGGAAAGGACACCCTATGGAAAGCAGAGTCAATGCCCAGCACAAGAACATGAGAACACACTATCCGTCTCACAGGTTGACTGGCAGAGGACCTGCCACTAGCAAGCATGACAACAGAATCAAGGATGATGTATAGCAGGATAGTTTGTGGTGGAGCCACGAAGCTTTATTGGGATGAGGTTGAGCTTCTGAGCATTAGTTAGTGAACGTCGCTGAGGTTTGTCATCCTCTGAAGCACTTTCCTCATAAGATAACAGGTTGTCACTGGGGTAAATGTCTCAGACTGAAAAAGTGTCAGAGTCTTTCCATGCTCGTTGCTTCAGCTTGCGGAGGGGGCTTGTGATGGTGGGCGGTCCCTTGTTTGGGCGGAGCTATCCCAAAGATCGAAGGGCTCCAAATGATTTTGGCTCGATCCTGGTTATCCATATGCCTGGAGCACCTAAATTCGAAATGATCAGTCCTAAGGTTGGGATGGTTAGAGATGCCCTGTTCGTGATGATAAGTATAGGGTCTGCGCCTCTTTGTCAGCATCGTGATATCTGTCTTAAATGGTGAACCAACCCACATCGAATGCAGACGTCTTGACGAGGGGAAAGAAAGGAGGACGTGCTGGATGAAGAACAAGGAGCTTTCGAACTAGTTTGGAGCCTTCAAATGAGGTTACGTTGTGGAGGGAATCAGTAAGGGCTTACCGAGGAGTAACTTCGCCCTTCACGCACTTGGTGGTGTTAAACGGCTAAACTAGAGGTGGAGTGACAAGTTTGAGAGTGCAGACATTGAGCAGTGAAGGAGAGAACGAAGGAAGGTCAGTTGGGAGGTTCAAACGAGACCACCACCAAGCTGTTCCCTGGTTCTTTAGTTAGGATGGGGAAGTGTACTAGTGTTATTTATTGTAAATAAAGTACCAATCCGAGTGTTTTGGCTAATTCTATTTTTATGGGTTAGTTTTAAAGTTCCTGGGAATTGACTTACAGATAAACCGAGCCCTGCGGAGCTGTTTCTTTATTGAAATTTATTAATTTGTCTAGGTGTAATTCTGTGTAGCGTTGTTTAATTTGGATTTAAACTTGAATTTAATCTTCTACTTGGTGAAGTTTCAAAGATTCTATTCAGTTAATGAATTTGGATGGTGTCTGGAGTGTCCCTTGAGTTCGTTTTATTTTTGTCTTTATTTTATCGCTTGTTTTAACAGTAGCAAAATAACTGTTTTGTGTTTACACTTTGAAATCTGGAGTGTTAACCAGCTCTCCTGTTGAAATATCTACTTAATATTTCTCTCCTTAATTGCTGCCTTTTACTACAGTGGCAATCTTAACTGTATATCACTTTTTCGCACTGGAGTGACAACCAGAAATGCTTGAGAAAAATAATACTCTATTTTCTTACTTCTCTGAGGGGGGCGAAAAGTCGCAGAAAGGGTCTCCCTTTTATACTCCTTGGGTCACCTTCCTTTTTCACGCTCTACCTTCTATTTACAGGATTTATTTACAGTGTATTTTTCTCAAACTGAATAAAAAGTGAAATTTTCACGCTATAGTTCCACTGCGCTTTGCTGCGCTGAACTGCGGCTCTACTGCGGTCAGACTGCGCCTGGAATCCTTATTGTCCTTCCTCGCCTAAGCTATTTTAATGGTTAATTAGAATTTGTCTGCGCCACATTTGCCGCAGTTCCCTATTTCAAATTCCCCATATTTCCCATTAAGTTCGCTATGACTCAGTCATACTGAATTCAAACCTCGCATTACTATGCGTGCGACTGTGCTGAGACCTTCAGCTGATTTATTCCAATTTTATTTAGTGACATTTAGTTAAAATGAGACTGAAATGATAAATGAGTGAATTATTCAGGTTTAAAACTGAAAGAAAAAGTTGCTAGTAATCAAGAATTACTCAAACGAATGTGTTATAGCTCTCTACTTCATTAGAACATCGTTCCCTAAAATTCCCGCCATGGTCCGTCTTAGTTTAGTAGTTTTCGTGAATTTCGTTCATATTCCCTGATTCCCCTTTGTATTATCACATCCTAATCCTCCATATGTATTGTTCGTTGTTATAGTAGGTCGTCCTCGAAGATATCATATTTTTATGTATTTTATTTAGGGCTCTAGACCTCTTGAAGCTGTCTTCCCGCGTGTTTTCAGGTTTCTAACTTCATGTCCTTGTATCTCATTCATTTCTGGATGTTTTCTCACGTTCTTGGTATCATAAATTTTCATTTATTCCCACCTTTCCAATGGTACTAAGGTTGTGTCCTATTTCCCTGTATTCGTTGAGTTAGCAAAGTTTCGCGCGCACATTCGGTAATCATGTGCGTCGTTCCCATAGTTGTTCGTATGTGGGAGCCGTTTTCGTTTAGTTGTTCGGGATTTATGATATGCGCGGGTGTTTATTTCTTTCATATGGGCTTCTGTGATTTATTTCAGATTTTTCCCTCATGATCTAAGGTTGTTTTGCACTTTTCGTGCTTTGTTTTGACCGGGCTCTTCCTTATTTGGATGGAAATTGGTCTTCGCGATCTGCCGAAGTGCGGATCTCGGTTCCGACGGCCAGTTCCCTGCGCATCGCCACCCTCACGTGTCATTATACATGATGCGGATTCCTATATTCCCGTCATGGGTATAACTTCACAACGGCTGGACCGTTTGGGCTGAGAATTTGCATAACTATAGTTTCCTATTTTTCATAATTTCCGTGTAAATTTCGTTGTATGTTTTAATTATGGATCCTACGCAATCATCGTCTTGTCCCTGAGCTCGGACTTTTGATGTCGCTATTCCCGTTATTGGATTTCTCATTAACGCATGATCCTTTTATTATGAAAATTTGGGAGGATTAAGAGTAGATCCTTTCCTTTCTAATGGGCTATCAAGCTTGTCTCGGTCGTTACTAGTTAATCTTCGCGCTTGCTTTTTAGACATTGTCCTCGTTTTGCAGGAGTTTTAGTCATATCTCCGTCGTTTATGGGTAGTTTCCCCTGTAATTACTCTCATTGGTTCCGTTTGGGTGACATCTACATTTCCTATTATAAACACGACTTTGACTTTTGCATTAGTTCCTGAGGAATCTTTGTTCCGTGGTACTTCCATCCTTGCTACGTGTGCGGACGTGGGAAAGTAGTTTCCGTGGAGGTTCTCTGATTATTTTTATAGTCAAATCTTGGTCGATTGTCCTAATTCTTGGTTTAATATTTGCTATAAATTCCCCCGAGAATTCCGTCTCGTTGATGGTAAGCTTGAAGTATTTTTGTTATTTTTCTTTCTTTCGATTTATCGTGTATAGTCATAATAATTCGTAAAAATTCGTAAAATTCGTTAAAATTCAGGTCCTTCTATGTTCTCATATCTACTTGTCGTATGAGGTTTTGTGATTTATCTGGCATATTTCCATAATGGGTTTCCATAGTGTGGCCGTTATTTCTCCTACAGCGGGCGAGTGACGGTTGGTGCGAATCATGAGGAGGACATCGTTGGCTCAGAAGGCAATTGGGTCTAGCGGCTGCGAGGGAGCTGCAGGATGCTAGTCCAGGATTCACGAGTGAGGAAACACCTTACTAAGAAGAGAGGGAGGGCGGTGCAGCGGAAAACTGAGCGGGCTCTTGACAGCTGTTTGTAAGCGCCACAAAGGATGAGCAATCATGGCTCCATTCTCCATTGGTGGTGGTGCACGATCCGGCTGGGACAGGTGGTTGTTTAAACAGCTGTCTCTTGCTTTGCGGCGCTGGAAACGGTTCTGGCATGAATAGCAAGATCCAAATCAACTCACACCCAGCTAGGATTGAGTACAGTGGATCTGATGACCGCGAAAAGGTGAGCAACTTCATACCCGTGAGTTTTTCACGAATCACGAAATGGGACATCTTCGTTGGGATTCAGTATCTCAGGAGAAAGTAGATACAGACTACGAATCCATCATACATAGACTCCACTAGTCAGTCAAATCTATTTGTTCTTGTTCATCATCCATCACTAATGGGAAGTCCGTGTGATCGATTTCGAGCTCGGAATAATTAACAGGAAATGTTGCGGCCACTTTAGCAGCTCGGCACCACAGTTCATGAATGAGGTCCGGATCCAGGCTTCTCCAGGTAGGCTGCCAACGTGGTGTCGATGGAGGAAGGGAAAGGATCTGTTGTTTCACCCTATCCCAAAAATTGTCGATGTTCGTGTCTTTTGGCGCAGCATCAAGTCCGATGTGTATAGCTTGAATGTCAGCCATGGTCCAAACCCCACAATCATACCCATTCCATTGGCGCGGTTCCGTCTGGGGCTTTTAATATATATGATGTTCACGATTCAGCGAGATGCACACCTACAGTGACTGCTCGAGTGGACCAATTGGACCAGTTGTATCCATGCTCATCATCAGGGTGGATGAACGACCAGGTGGCATTGACTAGTCCCTGAAGTATCTGATGAAAGAGGTATCATTGACACTGAGATGTGGGTTAGAGTTTGGGAACGCACTGTAAACACCCACTGTGGACCATGATGGCCTATATGAGCGTTTTGCTGGAGAGGCATGCTGTCAAGATAGCGCAGCTCTCGTTGTTCGAAGTTTACAACACCAAGCAGCCAGTGACTGCGCTTCCTTGAGTAGCATGGAATTGTCCAAGCGCTTGCGTCAAAAAGATCAGTTCGGACCTTCTTTGTGGCTCGCTGAAGGTTGGTTAGTACAGGGTCCATCGGTGTAAGCATTCCCACATACATCCAACAGGTGAACTGCCATACAATGCCTCATTCCTTCACACTGAGTAGGAAACATGATCATGTGGGGGCAAGTAGTCTTGAGGATATCCCGTAGCTTTTCGTCTGTAAGGTCTTGCAGCATCTCAACGTAGGCATCGATTATTGCTCCATGTATCAGCCGCCAGCGATTGACTGTCGGTAATGCATCAGGGAAGATCGCAATATGTTTGTAATATCTTGCTTTATCTCTTGTTTTGCTCTCATTCACTATCTAATGAGATATCAGTGGCATGAGTCACTGGGGAGCCTGGGAGGATTCTTACTTTTCCGGCATCTTGAGGCAGAAGCAACTCCATTATTTCCTTCCAAATTTTGGTTGGCTTTTGTTGTTGGATGGACTGGGTGGGTGAATGGATGGCATCGAAGATTGTTGTAATTGGAGGAAGACTTTGGGGACGGGGGTTCTCATTCCAGAACTTCTCCTCAATACTTTTGTTGCAGCCGGGACTATCTGCATCTCTCAATCTATGAGGAGGAACCAAGTCCATAAGAGGTTCAGTGTGTGGATCAGGATTGTCAATGGGGTCCATTGTCTCATCGAGTCGTATCTCTGGTTCACCGTCTGAATGGTTTACGGGTATCTCAGGTTCGAGAGTATCGCCTGGGCCACTGCCACTGTCAGTAGAGGGCTCGATATCATCAATATCGTCGTTGTCATCCAGCTCTGGGCTCATCTGGATAAGTCCAGTGAGTGCACTTAGTTCATTTGTGACTACAGCATTGTCTTTGGGGTCTATGCCGTGTGTTCCTGAGGATAGAGTTGTGGAACCAGGGGGGGAAGGCGGAAGGAGGAATACTCCATGGCACTCGGTGCAGCCTGGGGGTCTGAATGTTCTAGGTTTGCAAGCAGGTAGTGTGTCGATGCACGCCACAGATTGACGCAAGGAAATGATCCGTTCACGATTGCATCATGGCACTTGAGTAACAACTTGAGGCGTAGTTGCCATCGATATTTATAAAGAGCTGGAATCAATGTTAGTGTATTGGTGATTTGTGGGAATTGTAGGACATACGATGAATATCGTCTGTGGTCCGAATCATGGAGTCTACCGACTGGATGATCCAGGTGCGCGCATTGAGTTCCTCTCAAGCGAGCCTAAGCTTTTCTTCCTCAATACGAGCGAGCGACAGCACTGCTACTATGCCATGGCGAACCTGCTGATCGACGATAAAGGCAGGTGGTTTCTCATCCAGGTTCCAGTTGGAAACCCACAGGCTCTCCCACATGTTTGTCCACTGCTCATCACTGGGATCCATGTTAAGCAGTATTTTGACGTCCATTTTGGTGTGCTTCAAAGAATCCGGGAGCCAGGAGGGCCTATCGGAACGCTCGAGGCTGTCAACAAGCTCGTTATATCGCACGACCTGGTCGGAAATAACACGGGCACGGTCTTTTGCGCTATTGAACACTGAGACCATCTTCGAGTAGCCTATAAGTACCGGATAAGCCTTCAAGCACATCACCATTCACCTCAAACGGGGTTGTGCTTACCAACTTTTGTAACGAGTCGTCCTCCACACCGTTGCGAGCTTCGAATAGGGTTCATCTCGTCCTGGTACTTGGCTAAGCGGATAAGGATGGCATGTTTGCGGAATCGGGCCAGGATGTACTTCTCCATATAGTCCCTTTCTGTGCTAGACGGATTTCGCGGAGGTTTCAAATCGGACAGGCCAATTTGAGCTGTCAGATCTCGTAGGCGTTGTTGAGATTCATCGTGCAACAACCGTACATGCTGAGCAGCTTGGAAATGTTCGTCAAGATCGATAGGGCTGTGGGACAGTGTTCGCGCCAAGCTGATTCGGTCCAACTCCTTCTTTACAGCATCCAATGCTTCCGAATGTGCTTGCACTGACCATTCAGCTTCGAGAAGTCTCGCGAACTTTTTCATTCCGGCTTGGTCATTGTCTAGACCATAACCAGCATAGGTCAACGGCGAACACGGGATTGGAAACAGACATACAAGTTCGAACGGAGAGCTGCAAAGTCTTTTGCTCTTCCCACTGGGATCGAAGGAAAGGAGTTGTGAATCCCCTGTCACTGTCAGGGACGTGTCTGGGGTCGAGAGGGCCCCGGGGTAATATCCGGCACTGAGGCTGTCATGGGGTGTGGAGCAGGCGTGCGTACTGGCGGGCCCGATCCGGGACAGTGGTCCCTGGCCACTCAGACTGAAGTGGAGAATGTGTTATTATTATTAAAGGGGAAAACTATACTACTTACCTGAAGTGGAGAATGTGAGAAGAAGGTTACTTCTTCGGTTCCCACTTCAGGTACATTTATGTACATGCGGCTTGAGTCACATGACGGGTGCCACGTCATCCTCGGAGGCAGCCGCAGGCATCCGGGTGTCCCCATGGGGGATCCCGAGAGCGTCCGCTGCATGCGCTGTAGGAGAAATAACGGCCACACTATGGAAACCCATTATGGAAATATGCCAGATAAATCACAAAAACCTCATACGACAAGTAGATATGAGAAAATAGAAGGACCTGAATTTTAACGAATTTTACGAATTTTTACGAATTATTATGACTATACACGATAAATCGAAAGAAAGAAAAATAGCAAAAATACTTCAAGCTTACTATCAACGAGACGGAATTCTCGGGGGAATTTATAGCAAATATGAAACCAAGAATTAGGACAATCGACCAAGATTTGACTATAAAAAATAATCAGAGAACCTCCATGGAAACTACTTTCCCACGTCCGAACACGTAGCCAAGGATGGAAGTACCATGGAACGAAGATTCCTCAGGAACTAATGCAAAAGTCAGAGTCGTGTTTACAATAGGAAATGTAGATGTCCTCCAAACGGAACCAATGAGAGTAATTACAGGCGAAACTACCTATAAACGATGGAGATATGACTAAAACTCCTGCAAAACGAGGACAATGCCTAAAAGGGAAGCGCGAAGATTAACCAGTAACGACCGAGACAAGCTTGATAGCCCATTAGAAAGGAAGGGATCCAATCTTAATCCTCCCAAATTTTCATAATAAAAGGATCATGCGTTAATGAGATATCCAATAACGGGAATAGTGACATCGAAAGTCCGAGCTTAGGGAAAAGACGATGTTTGCGTAGGATCCATAGTTACAACATACAACGAAATTTACACGGAAATTATTAAAAATGGGGAACTATAGTTATGCAAATTTGCAGCCCAAACAGTCCAGCCGTTGTGAAGTTATACCCATGATGGGAATATAGAAATCCGCATCATGTGTAATGACACATGAGGGTGGCGATGCGCAGGGAACCGGCCGTCGGAACCGAGATCCGCACTTCGGCAGATCGCGAAGACCAATTTCCGTCCAAATAAGGAAGAGCCCGGTCAAAACAAAGCACGGAAAGTGCAAAACAACCTTAAATCATGAGGGAAAAATCTGAAATAAATCACAGAAGCCCATATGAAAGAAATAAACACCCACGCATATCATAAATCCCGAACAATTAAACGGAAACGGCGCCCGCATACGAACGACTATGGGAATGACGCACGTGATTACCGAATGTGCGCGCGAACTTTTGCTAACTCAACGAATACCAGGAAATAGGACACAACCTTGGTACCATTGGAAAGGTGGGAATAAATGAAAATTTATGATACCAAGAACGTGAGAAAACATCCAGAAATGAGTGAGATATAGGGACATGAAGTTAGAAACCTGAAAACGCGCGGGAAAACAGCTTCAAGAGGTCCAGAGTCCTAAATAAAATACATAAAAATATGAAATCTTCAAGGACGACCTACTATAACAACGAACAATACATATGGAGGATTAGGATGTGATAATACAAAAGGGAATCAGGGAATATGAACGAAATTCACGAAAACCACTAAACTACGACGGACCATGGCGGGAATTTTAGGGAACGATATTCTAATGAGGAGGAGAGCTATAACACATTCGTTTGAGTAATTCTTGATTACTAGCAACTTTTTCATTCAGTTTTAAACCTGAATAATTCACTCATTTACCATTTCAGTCTCATTTTAACTAAATGTCACTAAATAAAAATGGAATAAATCAGCTGAAGGTCTCAGCATAGCCGTACGCATAGTAATGCGAAGTTTGAATTCAGAATCATCGAGTCATAGCAAATTTAACGGTATATATAGGGAATTTGAAATAGGTAACTGCGGCAAATGCAGCGCAGCCAAGTTCCAATTAACCATTAAAATAGCTTAGGCGAGGGAGGACAATAAGAATTCTAGGTGCAGTCTGACCGCAGTAGGACCGCAGTAGAACCGCAGTTCAGCGCAGCAAAAGCGCAGTAGAACTATAGCATGAAAATTTCATTTTTATTCAGTTTGAGAAAAATACACTGTAAATAAATCCTGTAAATAGAAGGTAGAGCGTGAAAAAGGAAGGCGACCCAAGGAGTATAAAAGGGAGACCCTTTCTGCGACTTTTCGCCCCCCTTAGAGAAGTAAGAAAATAGAGTATTATTTTTCTCAAGCATTTCTGGTTGTCACTCCAGTGCGAAAAAGTGATATACAGTTAAGATTGCCACTGTAGTAAAAGGCAGCAATAAAGGAGAGAAATATTAAGTAGATATTTCAACAGGAGAGCTGGTTAACACTCCAGATTTCAAAGTGTAAACACAAAACAGTTATTTTGCTACTGTTAAAACAAGCAATAAAATAAGACAAAAATAGAACAAACTCAAGGGACACTCCAGACACAATCCAAATTCATTAACTGAATCAAATCTTTGAAACTTCACTAAGTAGAAGATTAAATTCAAGTTTAAATCCAAATTAAACAATGCTACACAGAATTACACCTAGACAAATTAATAAATTTCAATAAAGAAACAGCTCCACAGGGCTCGGTTTATCTGTAAGTCAATTCCCAGGAACTTTAAAACTAACCCATAAAAATAGAATTAGCCAAAACACTCGGATTGGTACTTTATTTACAATAAATAACACTAGTACACTTCCCCATCCTAACTAAAGAACCAGGGAACAGCTTGGTGGTGGTCTCGTTTGAACCTCCCAACTGACCTTCCTTCGTTCTCTCCTTCAGCGCGCGTGCTGGGCACAGCGGGAAGCCGTCCGGGGTGTGTGGGCCGGACGGGTCAATAGTACATCGATACAAAGGAAGGTGGTCCATGTAGATAGAAAGAAATAAACAGGAAGGGGAAGATGAGAAGAATGAAATAAAGAAAGAGGGAAAAGAAAGGGGAGGAGAGGGAGGAAGGAGGGGGGAGGGGATAGACAGCGGGGAGCGGGTGTGGTGTGGCCAGGTGGGTCCGGGTGGACCCGGGTCAGGCGGGTGTGCCCTGACAGTCACTCTCCAAATCTTTAAGAAGATCCATCAGAAGCGCCTCCTCACAGAGAATGGTGGCCAGTTTGGACCTCGCCAATGAAGCAAGATGGTCTCGGCCACGGATCGCAATCTTCTTGATTTTGTGGTCAATAGTTGTGATTCGTTTAGCTGGCTATAGTTTGGGGAGAACCTTGGATAAGATAGGGTTGTCGAACAAACAGTGTTTGGCCTGGTGAGACTCACACTCATTATGCGTTCAGGCGCTATTGTATCTGTTGGAGGAAGCGCCCTCAGCGCATGTATTTACACATGTTTATATTATGATATACAATCTAAGAGTTTACCGCCATGTTGTCCAACCGCCGTTGACCTGGTATTTTCTACAGGTTATGAGCCCAGGCGGCTCACCTGGACACCCGAGGTATTAAGGAAATCCGCCTAACTCTCGCGGTACAAGCCCTGGTTTTGTGGCTGTTGGTGAAAGTCCTCGAGTTTGAGGCAAGAATTTGCAATAAGTCCCGCTGGGCACGCGCTTATTGAGAAAGTCCTCGGGTTTGAGGCAGGGATTTTGTGATAAGTCCTGCTGGGCACACATTAATCAAGAAAGTCCTCAGGCTTGAGGCAGGAACCTGCGATAAGTCCCGCTGGGCCCGCGTCAATTTTGGAAAGTCCTATTTATTAGGCACCAGTAATCTTAAAGCCCATGGGACATGGCACTTTATCGCTGTAAGCCCTTAGACAGGCATGCAATGTTTACCTCACATTTCCCTCTCACCCCCTCCTTGCCACGTCATCACCTCTCTTTAATTTTTCTCACGCCTCATCGCACCACTGTTATTCAGAGGGTGAAAATTTTACACTCCTTCCTCATTCAATCATCATGCCGGCCACCACCCCATTCGACAAACTAAGTGACGACAATTATACAGCCTGGTCCCAGTACATGAAGGCTGACTTAGTCCGGAAGAAACTCTGGGGCTATGTTTCTGGAGATATACCCCGACCACTTGGAAGTGCGCATCACAGGACTGTTCAGGCCTGGCAAGAAAAGCACGATATTGCCGCAGCTGAGATTCTACTCAATGTCTCCCCGAAATATATCGGTCATTGTGATGACACTGATGCACCTGGAACCTGGAACAAACTCAGAACCATATTCCGCACAGAGGGCAGTAGTTCTATTGCTGCACTCCGTTATCAATTCAACTCTATGCGCTACAACGGGACCACAATGCGAGAATGGATTACCAAAGTTGAAGATGCCGCGCGTCATCTTGAAGATGTCAAGTCCCCCATGATCCCAATTGACATCATCAACATCCTAATTCGCAATCTCCCAGAATCATACTCCCCCCTAATCGTCGTCGTTGATACTCTGTTGGATGACCCCCTCCGACCCGTGGACTCTACAACCATTCAAGATGTCATCAGGCGACTTCTAAATGAGGAAATTCACCTCGCTAACACTACACACGATGGAGAACCCTGGGCTGCCAAAGTTGCCAAGGAAAGTAGGAACACAGACAGGTGTTATAACTGCGGGCAACCAGGACATATCAAATTCGAATGCAAACTTAGCCCATATGAAGTTCAGACACGCCGCAAGCGCAGGAACAAGTTCAAGAACATAAATGTGGATGAAGCAAAAATGGCAGAGCAAGATGGGCCTGATTATGAATCTCATGCCATTTATTAATTACATGCTCCTTCGTTCGAGAGGGTGTGTTGGAGGAAGCGCCCTCAGCGCATGTATTTACACATGTTTATATTATGATATACAATCTAAGAGTTTACCGCCATGTTGTCCAACCGCCATTGACCTGGTATTTTCTACAGTATCAACAATTAAGGACCATAGCCACTCATTTCCTTCCCCGTTTGACTTTCCAAACCCATTTCGTTTCCAGGGGTGAAATGCAATTTGACAACAGAATTGATGTGCATAGGCATGGAAGACTGAAACGGCGATGCTCAATCTAGGAGCGATTTTGGGAATGAGATTGTACTTTGTTTGTATATCAAGAGGTTGTACCTGAATGCTATGCAAAGTCATACCTTGGCAATTGATCGATCGAGAACACATCCAACATCATACATTAATCCAATGGTGGCATTTGAGGGTAGTTGGCGGTTGAGTGCAAGGAGCATGGCAATTGAAAAGTGCTGCTGTTCACCTGGAGTGCGTACATCACAGAGGAAAAGGGGGATATCATGACGGCATACAGTTGCCATCAGACCCTTCGAACGGAATGTATCCATTTTCAAGGCAGTCTGTTTTCCATGTTTTGTGGCTCTGTGTGATTCTTCACATTCATCAATAGCACCATCCGGTACAAGGGATGAGGGACGAGATTCTTCTGAACAACCTCTAGATGCAGCTCGTGCATCAGAGACATGGAGGGCAGCTTCCTCAATTTCGGCATCGGTGAGGAATGTACAGGTTTCATTCCAGGGAAGGACCATGTCTCCTCCAACGAACATGTACTGCCTATGTTGCATATTACCATCCATAGCGACGATGACATCAGGACATCTAGGGAAACACTTAGTATACCTGTTCTCGGAGGACATCCATGAGAAGACTAACTCGTTGGCTGAACTACCCCATATCAAACCTCCAAAACATTGGGGGCATCTCGCACGGAGGTATGGGCTGGCAGTGGTGTCGGATGGGTTGCGAATGAGCCTTGCTCGCTCAGGGACCATCGACGGAAGATCCTGTGACGTCTTTGTGAAGGTTGGGATGCTGTGGTCAACAGATACCATGCCATGGGACGTTGCAAGAGGGCTCACGGCTCTCTATGCCGACTAAGCTCGTGGGGGACAAACTCTCCAAAACTCCTACTTCTTGACTAGACTTCGCTACGCTCTCGATCCTTAACTCCATGTGGGTTCTCCGGGATTCCGCAAGGTCCGAGCTCAGTGTCCACTACTCACTCGTTGTGAGCTAGATCACTGCCCTTATTCCTACTGTTGGAATTCCACACACTCACACCCTCTCTAGCGCGTCCTAGCACCTTAGAGAATTTGGGGGAGGGGAGAACTTCTTTCTAAAAATCCGGTATGTACAGGATTATAAGAAATAATTATTTTTAGAATAATTGATGGGAAATATTGGTACCATATGGCACCTGCATACCTTATTAGGCGAAATAATAAAAAAAGGGTAACAGTAACAATAAAAGAATATCAATCAATATCTGAAATGATGGCAAAATATGAAAATAAAAGAAAATAAGCGATTTCTCAACGGATTTACGGAATTAAGAGCCGAAATTGGAAATGTGACTGAATAGAACTATTATGCAGCCAATGAGCATTTTTACCAATTTATTAGACGCCGTGGGAATGAGTGAGGCTGGAATTCTGGGTTGCCGCTTGAGATTCCCACGCCCGCACATGCTCGTGACCTGCTGTGCCTAACTTCTCCAACACAGAACTCTGTCAAATCTCCACCGATTGGGACGTTCTTGGTATCGTCAGAATCGTACGAATTAGCACTATTTTTAGATACCAATTCCATACCGAGTCGTCGCATGAATGAAAGGTGGTTTTCTAATCGTGGAAACGGGTATCCGAGCCAGCGCTGCGCGTGGGCGATTATCCTGCCTACAACATAGTGACCAAAGGATCTCCGTTGTGAGCAGGAACGGCGTGGATGGACCCGTCGGACTCGGCCAGCGCAGAACGCCATAGCGGTGCATCGGGCGCCGCAGGGGATGAGGGATGGAGGAATTCTCTCTCCGTTTCAATGTCTACTAAATCACGTAAGGCCTGGAACCAAGTGATCGCCTCACTAAACGACTGGAGAAAAGGGTCCTATATGAACGCCAGATCATGAACGTGCCAATTCCTGACAAATAACAAATGAATCTCACGTTGTGGGTGAACTCGTAGCCATTCTCTTGTAACATGGAAAACAAAGCGGCATGAAAGGAGGCAGCCGGGGTATACGAGTCCACATGTAAGGCTGAATACAGCGAAAGGACGTCAAAATGGAAGGCAACTTGAGGCATTACAGGTGACCCCGGAAAGTAGCCAGACTGGATGATGCTAAGCGGGAGAGTATTAGACAGACATTCACAATATTTGAACGTCCGCCGCACGGCACCTGGCCTGGGGTCATTGGGTCATTGTTTGTTGAGCGAGATCAGAACGGAAACGTACCTGAGAACGCGATCGTCATGAGCGAATGAAACCGGGGAGACGCATTGCAGTGAGAGCACAGCAATACTGCCGGTGTTTGTAGTTTTCCGTTTCTGTCAAATGACGTCTCGCTGGGGGTGGCAAGGGGTATGCGTCCTGCCTTCTTTGCCTCTACTTCTAGATAGATTTCCAGTGCATTGTGTATTATATCGCGGCGCCAATGGAGCCATGCAGCTTGCATTTGTGGATTTTGTAATGCTCTCTTGGCCCGTTTTTGGGAAGCTGACCGTGAAGGTGTAGGGGGCAAGGCGGAGTCTGGGTTTGAAAGAGCGGGTTCTGCGATACCTTCCAGCCAACCTTGAGGTGATGCCTCCCATTTCGGTGATTCCTTTTTTAGAGCCGGCGTTGAAGGGGGAGTCGAAACATTGCTGGCATCTGTTGATATTGCATTTCCTACATGATCGTGGCGATTTGGCACTGGCCACCAATCTCTAGATGCGATTCCAGGCCCCCAGCGTTGGGTCATCACGGTGCCGCTGGCGTTTGCTATCTCGACACGTCGCGATGGCTGGGGAATGGGGACTTCAGCGGTTGGAACACGCTCATGTCCTTTCTTTTTGGACGTTGAGGGTTTGGATTCAGGTGCAGACTGGCCACCAAGGAGATCCACATATTTTTTGGGTTTGCTTAAATTATACGGGTGATACTTTTTTACAGGAGAGGTAGTAAGGCGAGGAATTACAGGCTTATGCCTCGGCATGGTATGTAGCCGTTAAGAGATAGGGTGAACGGAAAAGAACAGGACAGGCTCTTCTCAACAAGTATGCAGCGGTTGCACGGCTAGTCTAAGATATACTCAGTCAGCTGCACATTCAGTCAGTGTGTGTAGCTGTGGCGCATACCAATAGGCAAACAGGGCAATTGGTGGGCAGTGGAGCAGTGGTATGGCGCTGGAACTATCAAATATGCAGTGGGGCACACGTCGGTCGGATGGGAGCCCCAGTCGAATTGTACCGTTTCTCTCAGCACTTGGGCGCTGGATGGGGTGCGCGTAGTATCCAGATGAAATGCGAATACGGGCTCGCTAAGACAGACTGGATAAAGGGTGGCGTGCAACACGGGGTAGAGGGTGGCGAGGAATTTAACGAGATTGTTAGCCCTCAATGATGGGGAGAGAGGGGCATAGCGTTGGAACTACTCTTATAAAGGTATTTGCTACGGGGTATGGAGTACACGGGGTAGGCCGGTGGCGAGCGCACAGTGTTCTTGTCTAATTGCACCGCCGTTTCTCAAGTCGCTCAAGCACAGGGTTTCGGGTGCGTGGTGCACAAGTGGCGAATGTGAATACGAGTCCACTAACATGGATTGGATGGCACAATTGGTGGGTGCAGAAGGTCGAGGGTGGCAGAAGGGTAAGGTTGAGGTTCGTGTCTGATCGCACCGTTTGGCACATCGTGTAAGCGCCGCTTGGTGTGCGAGTGATGTCCAGAAAGCCAAACCTGAGTACGAGACCATGAATAAGGATTGGACGAATCGACAGTACACAATCCGGGGCAGGGACAATGTCCACCGAGTGGGATTGTTAGTGCCATTTGATGTTAAAAGACGATGCGCAAAACGTTTGCTGCAGTGCCAGGAATGCCTAACCACAGGCAGTGAGACTTGCGGGCCCGTACACAAGTAACGCTGAACTAGAAGTTTGGATATCGGCACGTGATGTAATGCACCATTTGGGTAGAAGAGCTGATTGGGGGGGTATGAATGTCGAGTGTACTGCGCAGGATTAGAACGGGAGGTTGGCATTGCAGGGGGTGGGCAAGAAGACCAAGATGACCGTGAGTGCCAGCGGTGTTGAATACAACCTCTGGCCCTCGTCAGTCAAATATCTTCACGGTAACCGTGATTCACTAGCGATGCGCGAAGCACCTCTAGTTGTCTGCAGTTAAAGATGAAGAGAAGAGCCCTCAATGATATCTAGAAAGTTTTTGTTAGCTGCAACGCCGAGAGCAAACAGGGAGAACACTAACCGGAAATGGAGTTTTCTATGAGCGCAGAGATGGCCGACAGGGCTGGAAAGGATTGTGCGTGGCAACCCTGAGCTGTGGAATGGAGTACAACGTTTACATGGCACAATGTCAAAGCTGGGTGGGATCGATAGATTTTGGGCGCTTATGGGACGCGTGGACGTAGAGCCGCGATCAGAGGTTCAACTCGTACCTATATGGCTGTAGTAATATAAAGGATCATGTGTGGCAACCTTGAGCTGTGGAACGGTGGATGGTAAAGCTGGGTGGGATCGACAGATTTTGTGGGCGCTTACCGGGACGTGTGGACATAGAGCCACAATCAGGGGTTGAAGTCGTATCTATAGTGTAACATATGTTATGCTGGCGTTAATTGACGTGCACATCACCTACAACGGCGCTAACGAGTGTGATGGAGCAGGTGCCTCGGCTTTGGCCGGACGGCCGTTTGGAGGGACATGCATACCCCACGATTGTATTGGTTCCCACGGGGATGAGTGTGGTCAAAACGGGTCAATATGTAGTGGATCCTTCAAAGATGAATATTCCACTGATTGCTTTTCTCGAGCTTCTTTCAAAAGTTTGAATGAATCATGATCCTGTTAAAAATGACATCATATTAAAATAATCGCATCACAATGATTTTATTTACCTCAAATTCATCAAATCCCTCAGGGAATCCCTCGTATAATTCATTAATGTCTGACACCAGGTGCATAAATGTAACCAAGTTTCGTGTGAGGAAAGTATTAAACTCATTCTGCAAATTGGACTCTTGTGCAAAGAGTTGTGAGGGGTCTAAGTGTCCTAATAAACGTTGACGAGCATATCGGAGATGATGAGGGAGACAACGTTGTCTCTCCATAAAACCGCTCCATTTTCGTTTATCTCCTAGAGGGAGAATGGCAGGCTCCCCAAACACGTCCCCCTCACAACTATTATTGAAAAATTGGAGGAGTGGTAGTCCGAGGAAATACTTATTCACATTCTTGATAAAGAATACTTTATCATTTTCATTACCAATCGAATCCCCCTTTATGAACTCTACCATCGTTGCATGATAAAATTTGACACCCTTTGGGTCCTCTAAGGGTATTTTCGGGGTATGTTCCAAGGCACTTTCTTCAGAAAAATCAACAATTGAGCTAACTGGTTCCAATATGGCCAAGACCTCTTCCTCTGCAATTCCTAATAGCTGCGACATGGAAAACACACTCAGTGGCTCAAATGCCACAATGATTGTGCCAACCAGTTGGCGATACTTCTCAGCTATATGTGGAGGGACTCCAGATGAGTCGAACATATAGGCACGGCGAAGTATGCGCAAGTACTCTGAGTTGACGTCAATGGGGGCATCGATGAGGTCACGGAAGTATTCAAACTCAGATCGAAGGGTTGCTCCACGACGGGTTCGAACAGAGACATCCCGGACTCGGATTGAGGCAATAATGGGCAATCCACGACACGCTAAGACAAATGCATCGACATCTTTTTTTGACGGTTTCCAGGAAGACTTATCGATGCAACCCCGAAGGCCTTCCTCCACCATGCGGTGGATAGTTTGAGACTTCTCTTCCTCAGTGACAATGTCCACATCCTCACATGGGATGACATGACCCTGAGCCCGAGCTCCAACCCAAGCTGACTCGACGGATGACTCTGGCCGGCAGCTGACCAACACAGAGAATGCACTCGGCAGCTCATCAAGGATAAGTACCAACTTCATTAAGGACTCAAGTTCCTCCTGAGCCCCACACTCATCCAGTCCATCCAAGATGACGACGGAACGCTCCTCGCGCAGAGATAAGAGTTTGTGCATGGGTTCGACGATCCAAGCTCTCATCTGCTTCTCCAGAGTAGAGCCTGGAAAGTTCTCCAGTGAAGAGGGTTGTCGAAGTTGACTGGCAAGAAGACCCTCGTACTCGGCGGTAAACGAGGCAAGTTGGCGTGCAAGAGTAGAAGGAAAGTGCTCAATCGAATCAAGTCCTGTTCCATTTTGGTTCTTGTCCCAGAAAAAAGACGCTGCCAAGCGATGTTGTTTGGCAAGCGTTGAGGCGACACTCATCGATATAGCAGTCTTCCCGGTGCCCGGAGAGCCACGAAGCCAGATGAACCGGTATTCCCGTTTCTCCAAATGGTCGAGTATCGATTCCTGAATCCGGACACGGGTGTTTTCCAGGCATTTCGACTTGCTTTTCACCGCAAAGTATTCCGCATTTGCTTTGTATAGTTTTGAGAGTTCGCCTGGAATATCGTTAAATTCCAAGCAGTGAAATAAGGAAACAATCAACGAACGGTCCACCGATGATTGGATTATGTGGAGGAGATTCAGAGTTGTCGCAGCGGTCTATGGGGTATACCCAAATCAGTCATCGGACAGTCTGGACACCAACGAAACGAACTGTAAAGCGGGAGATAGCATCCCGGATACAGGACTTCACAGCGCTTATTTCCTGGGTTATCTCGGTCGCTAAGACTACCCTCTTGGAAAGCTTTTGACGTTTTAGTGCTTCAATTTGCTTCAATTGTTGCTTTAGAGCTCTGTGGAGATGAGATTTGGGCGAGAGGACGATGAAGTGAATGTACATACAAGTTAAATCGTTGAATCAGATCACCTATTTCGGGAGGAACTTGACCAGTCCACAACTGGAGGGGCCTAAAGATCGTTTCGTGAGCGTTTCGAACTTCATTGTCTAGTCCCTTGAGATTTTCGTCATTGTTGTCGATGGCCTGCATGAAAACGTGAGGTTATATCATTAGATCGCAAAATCGCGACGCCCTTGCGAACCTCGTAAACTTGGAGCCATGACAGGAGTATGGTTGGTATTTGATCGAGATTCGGAATGGGAGCTAACTTAAGAGCAGAGGCGGCGGTTTGGAGGACGAGCCGTGTGGTGGCGATGATTGTTTTCTTTCTTTCGCCAGCAGGGAGGGCTGAAGATGACGGAGTTCGATCTGTTGACGATGGCGTATCTAAGTTCACGCCTGATTGTGGGCGAGAGCCTTCATTGCCGCCATGCATGATGCGCTCGTTGGGTATTGTGTCAGGGATATTGATGATCCCTTCAGGGAGAACGGGAGATGGTGATAGATTAGGGGATGGTGGATCGGGCATAGAGGGGTCAGATTGTCTGGGGTCGAAGGACGTCGATTGGTCGATATGAGTGGGATCGGGATTGGGCTTTCTGCTGAATAGCTTAGATATAACGTGCGGGAAGGGCCTCCGCTGCTTCGGATCTCGAGAACTACCACCAGCTGACACAGCAGCAGTAGGAGGCTTAAGATGGAAACCATCAGATCCGCCATGATCTCTGCGGGTTGTTGTATCGTTTTCAGCAGGGAAAGCAATATCCTGGGGACTGGGAACAGAGGTCGAGGGCCGCGATGGGCCACCGGGAGGCGCAGGAGAGTGTCCCCTTTTGCTTTTGAAAAACTTCAATCGATCGGACATCGTGTATCAGCAATCGCGGAGGATGTTGTGGGCAGAGAGGAGAGCCACACGACATATAAGGCAGTACTGTCCTAAGTTAACCACTGCCAAAACAAGACAACAAATATTCAAGTACTCTTCTGTCAGCGATGGATTATTAGGGCCGATAACGAAATACAAAAAACCTCACTTACGTTTACTACGCTCCCCCGATGTTTTTAGCACGGTCGCCGCTGTTGATAGTTGTTTGATTCGGACCACCAAACGCTGCCACAGTGAACTATCTTATACACGAATATTAATTGCACACACGAACATCAGAGTCTCGCCTGGTGTCCATCTTGTCGCCCCTCTCGGTTATTCGCACTTCAGCAATATGCTTCAACTCGATTGCTTTGATTCCAATGCTCTGAGTCATACCAGAACAGCTCTAGGCGACTTCCAAGCCCATCGTATAGGGATCCAAGCTATTGATAGTGGGCTGTGTCTGGCTGGGTGTCTTTGTGTGACCCCGATATAAATTAAACAAATTACTTACCAGGCATCCGTTATTTTGTTGGGTTACCAGCCAACAATAGAACTGATGGACCAAATATTTAAATCTTGCGCTTCACGACTCTATTGCTGCTGGGCTCCTCTCTGTAGTATCCGCTTTTAACTCTGATTATGGCGACCTCGCACCTCCGGGTATCCAAGCAGCGGAGGTGTCCCATTTCGCTGTCGTTCTAAAACATGGAATACTCCGAATGATGACGAAGTCCCATCCGTACATGATATCTCTGTACGGCAATCACACGGGCGCGCCATAATGGACTTCTTATCAGTTCTTCTCCTACCTAGTACATAATTGCGCTTTATCGATTCCCTCTGTTTCTTCTGCTCATTCGGAATCCTGTCACCCAGTGCCTCCGCGTGACGCGCCAACATAACCACTAGTTCTCCCGTTTCCTCCCTCAGAGCCACGAACTCGAAAGCATCCCCCTGATGTTCAAAAGTGATTTCTTTCCGCCAACCCACTCTGTTTCCGACCGCTGGTGGGGAGAAAGCTTGACACTCCTTTCTCTTACTATCTGAATCTATCCAGAGCATCAAACATCGCCAGAAAGGTGAAAGGCATTTGGCCTTAAAATAAACGGGATGACAACGATGGATCGGCCGCCCTGCTGGTTCCACTCAGAAAATTTCAATTGCAACATCTTCATGCCGGACGGAGACAATCTGTTCGGAGTGCGGCTCCGTGCTCACAGCATCTTTAGTCCTCAAGAATCTCATAAGGAGCAATGGGCCATAGGTGGATGTCGGATGGGGATTCCATGAGTGCAGCAACCAATGCCGGGAAGATGCTTGGTTCGACTCATCCATGCAAAGGAATTTTGATGTGGATATATGCAAGCTGTGCTATTGCGTCCGGATCCTTGTTCGGGGTGGTGCTGCTTCGCCGGTTGTTCCCCTTCACCAGTGTTTACTACTAACTCGTTATCATTACTTAATATTATAAGATGTCAAGCGCAATGATGTACAAAGATATACAGACAATATATAACACAGTGACAGAAAAAACACTCGAGCTGGGTGGCTAGAGAAAGGAATCGCAACGACCGCAAACGTCGTCCTGAACGGCTTGCTAATATTTCGCGGACAATGGGAGCCGTCATCCGGCCTTAGAGAGCCCCATCTTTGCTCGACCGGAGGTGATAGAGATTCGTTATTTTCAGGATCAAATGGCACTCGATCACCATACGAGGTTTCTAGAGGGTTGACGCAACCCACCCGGCGGGTACCATGTGGAGATGATAGACTCTGTTTTGCCGTCAAACCATACTACTGGCGCCCCCTCGCTTATGTTTCCCATCCAGAGCAATGGGGTTCTCCTTGCAACAGACGAACAGACGCCGAGGCCTTCGTGCGTGCTTGGTTGGGGGAAGGGGGGGGGGATACATCTTCATGCATCCGGTGGTGTGACTGTGGGATTCATAATCCAAGAATCCAAGAACTGACATTTGTAACGCTGTAAAGCGCAAAATGAACTCGCCCGACTCCGCCGACTAAGTGAAAGCGCTGACTCCGGGAGGAAACCCATGCGTTGCGACGACGAAGAATGGCTAGCAAAGAATTCGAGCGGAAGGATGGAGTGGAAGGGTCTGGGGGTGGGCTGAACATGCGGGTCCGTCGGCATGAGCATCATGTTGTCGTACCAAGGCCTACGACATCAGTGTTTCAGCAGGAAAGGGGCCGTTGGGGAGAGTACCAAGATTCTCGGGGACCATATCATGGCAACAGCCACGGGCATCCTAACTAATATCGAAGACAATTGGAGCCATCATCCGGCCTTGGAGTCACATCCCTGCCGGACGGAAGGTGGTAAAGATTCGTAGCATCGAACGGCGTTCGATCACCGTACCAAGCTTTCAGACGGTTGACGCCACGTACCCTTAGATCACCGCGAGCGGCGCGAGGATTCTGTTCTGCGGTTGGACGCACGATAGCGGGGTTCTCCCAGAAACAGGTGAATAGACGCCGAGCTCTCCATGCATGAGGCTTGATCTACTAGATGCCATCTAAGTTCATGCTCTGCGTCCACTCCGGAATGATGCATGTCCGTCGTGTCACCTTCAGTGAGTCGGATGGACACGGGACCAGGAATATAGGAGATACGAGCAAGGAGTGGACACTGTGGGATTCATAATCTGAGAACTGGAATCCGTAACGTGATGACGCGCGATCGACTCTGTAAACCCAAGCGTGCGGCGATGAGGGATGGTTAACAAAGAATTTGAGCGGAAGGGTGGAATGGAAGGGTTCGAAGGAGAAGCAAGGCCAACTTAAGAGCTGAACGTGCGGGTCGCTTGAAGTAGTACCAAGGCTGGTCGATTTTCCGTGGAAATCGAACGACAAATAATCCATTATCCGACGCTATAGTCCCAGTAAGGAGCCATTGGGGATACCGGGATTTATGGGGGGGTTCCTACCTGGCTAAGGATAGTTGGCATTCCCCTCGTTATCCTTGGTTGTTAACAACACGATAGCTACCACAGACAAATTCGATCGAGGTAAGGTAGTCGGCTAGAATCGGGAAATCGTGCACTCATCATCAGTGGGGTCGATTCGATACCGAGGGCTACACAACGGCCATCGGGGGAGGGGGAGTGCCACATATTTATTTCTTGATACCATCGCGAACATCGATCGAGATCGTTGAAACTCGAATTAGGCTTCGTAAATGGTCTCCTACGTATCCCATCTACTAGCCTCCTTTGGTAAATTAGGCAGCTTTGCCTCCATGCTCCATGGCCGTTTGGGCATTAGCCAAATCCTCGCTCAATAGCAGAAAACTAACTAGAAATGATGAAGATCTGAACGGGTTCAGAGAGATAGCCATACGGTTTGTAAAAAGTCGATGGGGAGTGGGTGAAAGGTTCGATGGTTCGTAGTGTAAGGAAGGCTAATAGCGAATTAGAATTATTCGCGATTCTTTTTTTGAGCTTTTCTGAATGAATCGTCCTCCTGTCAGGAAATGGCGTCTCGTTGGAATTCATATACAATAAAATTTACTCACCTTTTATGAGGGATTACAAAGTCGAACTAATTTCGCACAAGGATGGCAATTTTCCATTTCCGTTCGACTCCTGAAAGTGGAGCAGCAAGCAATCCAAATACATCATTATTGTTGAAATCGAAGGAGCGGTAAGTCTGAGGAAATACCCTTTGAAAAAAGATACTCTGTCGTTTTCACTACCAACCAGATCCCTAAATTTCTTCATCATTGCGTGATGGAATGTGATGCCCATATATCGCGTTCACTGAGGAATGTCCTGAGGAACGTTGCGAGCAGCTTGTCGGGAAAGATCAGCAGGTTGGAAAATTGGTTCCATGCAAAGCCGCCAGGACCTCCTCGGCTATTCCTACATTATTTCTTTATATAATCCCTGGGCACTGGAGCAATAATTCTCACTTTCACACCGGTTGAACTCCTCCCGGACGTCCACTCTTCTATCCTATGGGTCGCATCACTCGAACCACCCTCCGCCTCCGCGTATACCAGGTAGCATCAAATCTCAGTCCATCAGCAGTCCAGCGGTGCATGTGGATCTGATTTTTCTTGAGCGAGTTCCGAGGCAAGTGGCTCCAGGCCGAGTGCGAGGAAGCTAGCGTGAAAGCACGCGGCGAGGTGTTCCAATGGCGGTGCAGGCGTCCCACCTCCATGGAAGTGACGTAGAGGAGACCACGAGTCGGAGAGGGGAAGCGCATACTGTTCATAACACCGTCTAAATTGGAGTTGAAGGAAGGGTTGCGGACGATGCGAATCTTACACATGTCCGAATTCGCTTTTTCGTACCTACCCAGAGAGGTAATCGTTCAGGAGACATCCATACTGAAATTGAAAAACGCCTCAATAAATCAGAGATGCCGCTATGAGATGAGGATATTACTTACCGCACTGTCTACCACACCGCCGATGGAGTAACGGGCTAATGCAGATCACGGCATTTGTCTCCAAAACTATTTGGACACAAAGACACATATAAAACACTTAACAATCAGGCTGAGTACCGTTCTTCACCTCCCAGGATGCACTCCACAGTCAATCTTTCGTCGGCGCCTCCTGTAGAAGGTCAATAACATTATCTGATCTAACGGAGTGATAGTGAATTGAGGAACTATGAAAAGAGCAGAATCAAAAAGAATCTCTGTGGTCACAACACCGACATTCATTTTGTCCGACCCAGGACTAAACGACATGCAATGCAAGGGAGGAATGGTCGTAGATCTGTTCAAGTCTCCGAGCTTTACCTATACTCACTGCACCCTAGGGAAAGGGAACCTCGTCCGAGGGAAGTAAAAGTTGGAAGGTTGGCCTAGCGAAACTTTGCGATTCCCCTCTGACAGTAGATAGAATCACACAAGGAAAATACTGTAGGAAGATATTTCCATTGACCACGAACATCCTAAATGACTTGGCTAAGATCAACAACAATCGGAGCTGTCTGCCGGCCTTGGAAGAGAATTCGAGTCCCATCTTGGCTGGACCGAGGGCTGTACAGACGGGTAGGATCAGATGGCACTCGATCACCATACCAAGCGCCTAGACCTTTGGCACCAGAATAAACAGCTGGTCGATACTCCTCGGGAATAACAAATTCTAGTTTGCCATTGAAGAACACTGGTAGCCCCCCATGTTCTCCATCGGTTCCGAACAGTGGGGTTCTTCCTGCAGCGGATGAACGGATGTCAGACATCCACGCTACCTCCTCCTTACCTTGCGAAAGAACATAAAATGGGCACTTGATCCAGGACTCGTCCAAGTGATGCACCACATCTGTTTTGGAATGATGTCTATCTGCTGCTCCACGTTTTTTCAAGTGAGCAGATACAGGATCAGGGATGTGATGAGAGCAGGCCAGTGGAACAGCAGGATTCATAATCCAAAAATTGAAATCTGTCACACGATACCTCGCAATGAGCTCACCCGAATCTGTCGACCAAGTGAAAGCACTGAGCCTATCGAAAGCACCAATAAAACGTGCTCCCGGAGAGAACCCAAGCGTGCGACGATGAGGAATAACAGGCTTGTGGTGGCGAAGCCCAAAGTTACCTGAGTCCGAGTTGGGAGGAGAAGCAAGGAGCTGCATGTGCGGGTTATCCAAAATGGATATGAGAGTCATGTTGTCATACCAAGAGTTATCAGTGTTCCATGGAACCCGTATGATAAATAATCCGTTATCTGATACTCGAGTTACAGCAGGATTGTTGGGAAGAGTACCAAGATTGACGGGAGTCATATCGTGGCTAAGAATGGCGACGTTCCCCTCATTGTCCTCGGCAGTGAGTTGGTGGCTTCCATGGACAAATTCGATCCAGACTGGATGGTTAGGTGGATCGAGCTGGAATCGGGAAATTGTGCGCTGATGGTCGATATCAGCAAGTTCAATGACACCACTACCAAAACCAAGAGCTACATGGCAACCATCGAGGGAGAGTGCTGCACATGTCACAATACCATTATGAACATCAAGGTCGTTGAATTGGGCATCATAATCAATCTCAACATCCCTCTTTGGCAAATTAGGTAGCTTCGCCTCCATGACCATTCGAGCATTGAGCGAATCCTCACTCAATGGGATTCTGTGCCCGGAAAACCCGCCGGAAATGGTGAAGATCTGGACAGGGTCGGAGAGGTGGCCATACAGTTTGTACAAAGGTGATGAGGATGGGGTGAAAGGAAGGGTCGATCGGTGGAGGTGCCATGGTGCGAAGCAATATGACAGAACATCGCTAGAGCTCGAAGACGGATACTCCACAAGTTGCTTTTCTCGGGCTTCTCTCAAAAGTTTGAATGAATCGCAATTCTGTTAAAAATGACATCATATTACTAGTAAAATAATCGCGACACAATGATTTTATTTACCTCGAATTCATCAAATCCACCAGGGAATCTCTGGCTCCCTTCATAGCGTGGCACCAGGTGCATAAATGTAACCAAGTTTCGCGTAAGGAATGTATTAAACTCGTTCTGCAAATTGGACTCTTGTGCAAAGAGTTGTGAGGGGTCCAAGTGTTCTAATAAGTATTCACGGGCATATCGGAGATGGTGAGGGAGATGACGTTTTCTCTCTATAAAATCGCTCCATTTCCGTTTATCTCCTAAAGGGAGAATGACAGGCAACCCAAAGACATCCCGCTCACAACTATTATTGAAAAATCGGAGGAGTGGTAGTCCAATGAAATACTGATTCGCATCCCTAATAAAGAATACTTTGTCATTTCCATTACCAATCGAATCCCCCATTATGAACTCTTTCATCGTTGCATGATAGAATTTGACACCCTTCATGTCCTTCGAGGGATTTTCTGAGCCACTTCCCAAGCCGCTTTTTGAAGAGAGATTAACAATTGACCCAATCGGTTCCAAAATAGCAAGGACCTCTTCCTCGGCAATTCCTAACAGCTGTGACATAGAAAATGCACTCAGTGGCTCGCGTGCTGCAATGATCATGCCAACCACTTGGTGATATTTCTCAGCTATATGTGGAGGAACCCCAGATGAGTCGAACATATAAGCACGGCGAAGTATGCGCAAGTACTCTGAGTTGACGTCAGTGGGGGCATCAGTGAGGCCACGGAAGTATTCGAACTCCGATCGAAGGGTTGCACCACGACGAGTTCGAACAGAAACATCCCGGACTCGGATTGATGCAATAATCGGCAACCCACGACAGGCCGAGGCAAATGCATCGATATCCTCTTTTGACGGCTTCCAGGCAGACTTATCGATGCAACCCCGAAGGCCCTCCTCCACCATGCGGTGGATAGTTTGGGACCTCTCTTCCTCAGTGACAATGTCCACATCTTCACATGGGATGACATGACCCTGAGCCCGAGCTCCAACCCAAGCCGACTCAACGGATGACTCTGGCCGACAGCTGACCAACACAGAGAATGCACCCGGCAGCTCATCAAGGATAAGTACTAACTTCATTAAGGACTCAAGTTCCTCCTGAGCCCCACACTCATCCAGTCCATCCAAGATGACGATGAAGCGCTCCTCACCCAAAGATAAGAGTTTGAGCATGGGTTCGACGATCCAAGCTCTCATCTGCTTTTCCAGAGCAGAACCTGGAACGCCCTCCAGTGAAGAGGGCTGTCGAAGCTGATTGACAAGAAGACTCCCGTACTCGGTGTTGAACAAGGCAAGCTGGCGTGCAAGAGTAGAGGGAAAGTACTTAATCGAATCAACTCCTGTTCCCACTTGGTTTTTGTCCCAGAAGAAAGACGCTGCCAAGCGGCGCCGCTTAGCGAGCGTTGAGGCGACACTCATCGATATAGCAGTCTTTCCAGTGCCGGGGGAGCCACGAAGCCAAACAAACCGGTGCTCCTGTTTCTCCAAGTGACCGAGTATCGATTCCTGAATCCGGACCCGAGTGTTTTCCAGGCATTCCGACTTGCTTTCCACGGCAGAGTATTCCGCGTTCGCTTTGTAGAGTTTCGAGAGTTCATCTGGAATATCATTGAATTCTGAGCAGCGAAAAACAAGGGAATGCAACGAACAGTCCACGGATAACCGAATTGTGTGGAAGAGATTCAGAGTTGTCGCTGCAGTCTATGGTGCAGGCCCAAGTCAGTTAACGGACTATCTGAACACTGACGAAACAAACCGTGAAACGGGAGACAGCATCACTGATACAGGACTTCACCGCGCTTATCTCCTGAGATACCTCAGTCGCTAGGATTACCTTCTTGGCAAGCTTTCGACGTTTGAGTGCTTCGATTTGCCTCAATTGCTGTCTTAGGGCCCTGTTACCGGGATGTGAGATTTGGACGAGAGAGCGATAAAGTGAATTCACATACAAGTTAAATTGTTGAATTAGCTCGCGAATTTCAGGAGGGGCCTGGCCAGTCCACAGCTGAAGAGGCCTAAAGATCGTTTCGTGAGCATTTCGAACTTCATCGTACAATCCCTTGAGATTTTCGTCATTGTTGTCGATGGTCTGCATGAAAACGTGAGGTTATATCATTAGATCGCAAAATCACGATGCCCTGCGAACCTCGTAAACTTGGAGCCACAACAGGAGTATATTCGGTATTTGGTCGAGATTCGGAATGGGGGCTAACTTAAGAGCAGAGGCGGCGGTTTGGAGGACGTGCCTTATTGTGGCGATGATGGTTTTCTTCCTCTCCCTGGCGGAAACGGCTGAAGATGACAGTGTTCTATTTGTTGACAGCGGGATATCTAAGTTCACGCCTGATTGTTGGTGAGAGCTCTCATTGTTGCCATGGATGATGCGCTCGCTGGGTATTGTGTCAGGGATATCGATGATCTCCTCAGGGAGAACGGGAGATGGTGGGCCGGGCATAGAGGGATCAGATTGTCTGGGGTCGAAGGACGTCGATTGGTCGATATGAGTGGGATCGGGACTGGGCCTTCTGCTGAATAGCCTAGATATAACGTGCGGAAAGGAGCTCCGCTGTTTCGCGTCTCGAGAACCACCACCAGCTGACACAACAGCAGTAGGAGGCTTAATATGGGGACCATCAGATCCACCACGTTCTCTGCGGGTTGTTGTATCGTTTTCAGTTGGGAAAGTGGTATTCTGGGGGCTGGAAACAAGGGTCGAGGGTCGCGATGGGCCGCCGGGAGGCGCAGGAGAGTGTCCCCTTTCGCTTTTGAAAAACTTCAATCGATCGGACATCGTGTATCAGCAATCGCGGAGGATCTTGTGGCCAGAGAGGAAAGTTGAGCTGTCTCAGCCACACGACATATAAAGCAGTACTGTCCTAAGTCAACCACTGCCAAAACAAGACAACGAATATCCAAGTACTCTTCTGTCAGCGATGGATTATTAGGGCCGATAACGAAATACAAAAAAAACTCACTTACGGTCGCCGCTGTTGATGGTTGTTTGATTCGGGCCACCACAGCCTCGTCCTTGTGCTTCTCCTGCCACAGCGTCGGTTATTCACTATTCAGCAATTATGATTGCTTCGATTCCGATGCTCTGAGTCATACCAGAACAGCTCTAGACGACTTCCTAGCCCATCGTATAGGGATCCAAGCTATTGATAGTGGGCTGTGCCTGGCTGTCTTTGTGTGGCGCCGACACAGATTCAGACAAATTACTTATCAGGTATCCGCTGGGTTACCAGCCAATAATAGAACTGATGGACCAAAAGTTTAGATCTTGCGCTTCTTCACGACTCTGTTGCTGCTAGGCTCCTCTCCGTAGTATCCGCTTTTAACTTTGATGATGGCGACCTCGCACCTCCAGGTATCCAAGCAGCGGAGATGTTATATTTAGCTGTAGTTCTAAAACATGGAATCCTTACCTAGCCTTCCCCACATATCCAGCGTTACTACCCTTGAGAATGGGTGGGTGGATGATGTTATTAGTGATACTCCGAATGAAGGCGAAGTCCCATCCGTACATGATATCTCGATCAGGCTCTGTACTCTCAGACGGCAATCACACGAGCACGTACGCCACAATGGACTTCTTATCAGTTCCTCTCCTACATAATTGTGTTATATCAATTCCCTCTGTTTCTTCTGTTCATGCGGAGTCCCGTCACTCCAGTGCCTCCGCGTGACGCGCCAACATAACTCCTTCCCTTCACCGGCTCTCCCGTTTCTTCCCTCAGAGTCACGAACTCGAAAGCATGTTCAAAAGTGATTTGTCTCCACTTCTTTCCGCCAACCCACTCTGGTTTCCGACCGCTGGTGGGGAGAAAGCTTGACATTCCTTTCTATTACTATCTGAATCTATCCAGAGCATCGAACATCGCCGGAAAGGTGAAAGGCATTTGGCCTTAAAATAAACGGGATGACAACGATGGATCGGCCGCCCTGCTGGTTCCGCTCAGAAATTTTCAATTGCAGCATCTTCATGCCGGACGGAGGCAATCTGTTCGGAGTGCGGCTCCGTGCTCACAGCATCTTCAGTCCTCAAAGTGAACAGGATCTCGTAAGGAGCAATGGGCCATAGGTGAATGTCGGGTGGGGATTCCATGAGTGCAGCAACCAATGCCGGGAGGATGCTTGGTTCGACTCATCCATGCAAAGGAATCTTGATGTGGATATATGCAAGCTGTGCTATTGCGTCCGGATCCTTGTTCGGGGTGGTGGTGCTTCGCCGGTTGTTCCCCTTCACCAGTGTTTACTACTAACTCGTTATCATTACTTGATGTCAAGCGCAATGATGTGCAAAGATATACATGACACAGTGACAGAAAAAAACACTCGAGCTGGGTGGCTAGAGAAAGGAATCGCAACGACCGCAAACGTCGTCCTGAACGGCTTGCTAACATTTCGCGGACAATGGGAGCCGTCATCCGGCCTTGCAGCAGAAGTCGAGTCCCATCTTTGCTGGACTGGAGATTCGTTATTTGCAGGATCAAACGGCACTCCATCACCATACGAGATTCCTAGATGGTTGACGCAACCCGCCCGGCGGGTACCACGTGGAAACAGTGGACTCTGTTTTGCCGTCAAACCATACTACTGGCGCCCCCTCGCTTATGTTTTCCATCCAGAGCAATGAGGTTCCCCTTGCAACAGATGAACAGACGCCGAGGTCTTCGTGCGTGCTTGGTTGGGGGAAGGGGGGCGGGGGCGGGGGCGTGAAACGGGATGCATCTTCATGCATCCGGTGGTGACCAGTGTGGGATTCATAATCCAAGTACTGACATTCGTAACGCTGTAAAAAGCGCAAAATGAACTCGCCCGACTCCGCCGACTAAGTGAAAGCGCTGACTCCGATATCGAAACTGCCAAAGTGCCATGCTCCAGGAGGGAACCCTTGCGCTGTGACGACGAAGAATGGCTAGCAAAGAATTTGAGCGGAAGGGTCAGAATGGGGGTGGGCTGAACGTGCGGGTCCGTCGGCATGAGCATCATGTTGTCGTACCAAGGCCTCCGACATCAGTGTTCCAGCAGGAAAGGGGCCGTTGGGGAGAGTACCAAAACTCACGGGGACCATACCATGGCTAAGGGTGACGACAGCCGCGGACATCCTAACTAATATCGAAGACAAATCATCCGGCCTTGAAGTCACATCCCTGCCGAACGGAAGGTGGTAAAGATTCATAGCATCAAACGGCGCTCGATCACCATACCAAGCTCTCAGACGGTTGATGCCACGCACCCTAAGATCACCGCGAGCGGCGCGAGGATTCTGTTCTGCGGATGGACGCACGATAGTGGAATTCTCCTGGAAACAGACGCCGAGGTCTTCATGCATGCTTGATCTGGATCGCATCTAGGTTCATGCTCTGCATCCACTTCGGAATGATGCATGTCTGTCGTGTCACCTTCAGCGAGTCGGATGGACACGGGACCAGGAATATAGCATATGCGAGCAAGGAGTGGGGACTGTGGGATCCATAATATGAGAACCGAAATTCGTAACGCGATGACGCGCGATCGACTCTGTAAACCGGGAGAAAACCCAAGCGTGCGGCGATGAGGGATGGCTAACGAAGAATTCGAGCGGAAGGGCGGAATGGAATGGTTAGAAGCGAGGCCAAGAGCTGAACGTGCGGGTCGTTTGAAGCCGATGTAAGCGTCATGTTGTCGCAGGCAGGATCCCAGCCTCTACTAAAGTAGTACCAAGGCTGGTCGATCTTCCGTGGAAATCGTACGACAAATAACCGATGCCAGAGTCCCAGTAAGGGACACCGACATTTGTGGGGATCCTACCTGGCAAAGGATGGTTGGCGTCAGTTAACAACACGATAGCTACCGCAGACAAATTCAATCGAGGTAAGGTAGTCGGCTAGAATCGGGAAATGGTGCACTCATAATCGGGAGCTCGATTCCGATACCGAGGGCTACACAACGGCCATCGGGGGAGGGGGAGGAGTGCCACATAATTCTCGATACCATCGCGAACATCGATCAAGATCGTTGAAACTTGAATTAGGCTTCGTAAATGGTCTCCTACGCATCCCATCTGTCAGCCTTCTTTGGTAAATTAGGCAGCTTTGTCTCCCGTTTGGGCATTAGCCAAATCCTCGCTCAGTAGCAGAAAATTAACTAGAAATGATGAAGACCTGGATGGGTTCAGAGAGATAACCATATAGTTTGTAAAAAGTCGATGGGGACTGTTCGATGGTTCGTAGTGTAAGAATTATCCGCGATTCTTTTCTTGAGCTTTTCTGAATCGAGGGATTACAAAGTCGAACTAATTTCGCACAAGCCATCGCAATCTTCCATTTTCGTTCAACTCCTAGTAGCGGGCATTCCAAATACGTTGAAATCGAAGGAGCGGTATGTCCGAGGAAATACCCGTTGAAAAAAGATACTCTGTCGTTTTCACTACCAATTGGATCCCTGAATTTCTTCATCGTTGCATGATGGAATGGTGACGCCCATCGCGTTCACTGAGGAATATTGTCCTGAGGAACGTTCCGAGCGGCTTGTCGGGAAAGATCAGCAAGTCGGAGAATTGGTTCCAAAGCCGCCAGGACCTCCTTGGCTGTTCCTAGGCTACGCTATTGCTTCTGTCTTATGGGTCGCATCTTCATACCAAACTTCATCTTAGCACTCGAACCACCCTCCGCCTCTGCGTATACCAGGTAGCAGTAGCATCAAGTCGTCAATCCGTCAGCAGTCCAGCGGTGTGGATCTGATTGTTCTTCCGAGCCAAGTGGCTCCAGGCCGAGTGCAAGTTACGTAGGCTAACGTGAAAGCACGCGAGGTTTCCAATGGCGGTGCAGGCGTCCCACTTCCATGGAAGTGACGTAGAGGAAACCACGAGTCAGGGAGGGGAAGAGCATATTGTTCGTAACGCCGTCTAAATTGGAGTTTTATCAAGGGTTGTAGACGACGCGAATCTTACACATGTCCGAATGTACTTGCCCAGAGAGGTAATCTTTCAGCAGACGCCCGTACTGAAATTGAAAAATGCCTCAATAAATCAGAGATGCCACTATGAGATGAGGATATCACTTACCGCACTGTCTGCTACACCGCCAATGGAGTAATGGACTGCATTTGTCTTCAAAACTACTTGGACACAAAGACACATATAAGTCACTTAATAATCAGGCTGAGTACCGTTCTTCACCTCCCAGGATACACTCCACAGCCAATCCTTCGTCGGCGTCTCCTGTAGAAGGTCGATAACACTATCTGATCTACTGCAACTGATAAGTATCTATTGTACAGCAGACGATATCGTGATAATGCCGTTTTAGCCTAGTTAGCGTTATTTAACGCGATGCAAAGACCGTCACTTTTTGCCGCATATCTTGTGAGTATTAGTAGGGGATCTTCACCAAACGCTCGTACATGCACACACCTATCTAGCACTTATACTACGTTGGTCTTTTTGTTACATTACTTATGTGCAACTGAGGATGAACGTAGGGCGAAACGACGGAACTGGGAAAGGAAATATCGATTTTTGATATGTGATAACGGAAAATCAATCTGACTCAGTCGATACGGAGTGATAGCGAATTGAGGAACTATGAAAAGATCTCTGTGGTTGCAACACCAACCCTCATTTTGTCCGACCCAGGACTAAACAAGATGCAGTACAAGGGAGGAATGGTCATAGATCCGTTGAACTCTCCGAGCTTTACTTATACCCACTGCACCCTAGGGAAAGGGAACCTCGTCTGAGGGAAGTGAAAGTTGGAAGGTTGACCTAGCGAAACTTTGCGATTCCCCCTCCGATGACAGTAGATAGGCAAATAAGAAGATGCTTCAATTGACCACGAACATCCTAAATGACTTGGCTAAGATCAACAACAATTGGAGCTGTCTGCTGGCCTTGGAAGAGAATTCGAGTCCCATCTTTGCTGGACCGAGGGCTGTACAGACGGGTAGGATCAGATGGCACTTGATCACCATACCAAGGGCCTGAACCTTTGACACCAGAATAAACAGCTGGTCGGTACTCCTTGGGAATAATGAATTCTGATTTGCCATTGAAGAACACTAGTAGCCCGTGGTCTCCATCGGAAAAGAACAGTGGGGTTCCCCCTGCAGCAGATGAACGGATGTCAGACTCCTCCTCCTCCTCCTCCTCCACCTCCTCCTTGTCTTGCAAGAGAACATAAAATGGGCACTTGATCCAGGACTCGTCCAAGTGATGCACTGCATTTGTTTTGGAATAATGTCTATTTGCTGCTCCACGTGTTGTCAAGTGAAGGGTAAGTTGAGGGGGTACAGGATCAGGGATGCGATAAGAGCAGGTGGATGGAACAGCGGGATTCATAACCCAAAAACCGAAATCCGTCACACGATAACTCGAAATGAGCTCACCCGAATCTGTCGACCAAGTGAAAGCACTGAGCCCATCGAAAGCGCCGAGATAATGTGCTCCCGGAGAAAACCCAAGCGTGCGACGGTGCGGAATAGTGAGCACTGCGTCACTTTTGATGGATGCAGAGGATGAAGTAGAAGGCTTGGAGGCTAAGATAGGAGGGTTGGAAGTTGGAGTGAAATTATTGGAAGAAGGGGGTGCGAGGTGCTGCAAGTGCGGGTCACCCAAAATGGATACGAGAGTCATGCTGTCGTACCAAGGGTTATCAGTGTTCCATGGAACCCGTATGATAAATAATCCGTTATCTGATACTCGAGTTACAGCGGGAAGAGGACCATTGGGAAGAGTACCAAGATTAACGGGGGTCATATCGTGGCTAAGGATGGTGACATTCCCCTCATTGTCCTCGGCAGCGACTCGGTGGCTGCCGTGGACGAATTCGATCCAGACTGGATGGTTGGGTGGATCGAGCTGGAATCGGAAAATTGTGTGCTGATGGTCGATATCAGCGAGTTCGATAACACCGCTACCAAAACCAAGAGCTACTTGGCGACCATCAAGGGAGAGCGCCGCACATGTCACGATACCGTTACGAACATCAGGGTCGTTAAATTGGGCATCATAATCAACCTCAACAGTACCCTGACTATCAACCTTCTCTGGCATATTAGGTAGCTTCGCCTCCATGACCATTCGAACATTGAGTAAATCCTCACTCAATGGGATTCTGTGCCCGGTAAACTCGCTGGAAATGGTGAAGATCCGGACGGGATCGGAGAGGTGGCCATACAGTTTGTGAAAAGGTGATGACATTGGGGTGAAAGGAAGGGTTGATCGATGGAGGTGCCATGGTGACCAGGAAGTCGTAGAAATAAACCATGACGCCCAAGACGAATACTCCACAAATTGCTTTTCTCGAGCTTCTCTCAAAAGTTTGAATGAATCGTGATCCTGTTAAAAATGACATCATATTGAAATGATCGCGGCACAATGATTTTATTTACCTTGAATTCATCAAATCCATAAGGGAATCCCTTGTCCCTTTCGTCGTCTTGCGCCATGTGCATAAATGTAACCAAGTTTCGCGTGAGGAATGTATCAAACTCGTTCTGCAAATTGGACTCTTGCGCAAAGAGTTGTGAGGGGTCCAAGTGTTCTAATAAGTATTCACGAGCATATCGGAGATGATGGGGGCGTTCTCCCTTCAGAAAATCGCTCCATTTTCGTTTATCTCCTAAAGGGAGAGTGGCGGGCTCCCCAAACACACCCCGCTCACAACAATTATTGAAAAATCGGAGGAGTGGTAGTCCGATGAAATACTGATTTGCATCCTTGATAAAGAATGCTTTGTCATTTTCATTACCAATCGAATCCCCCATTATGAACTCTTTCATTGTTGCATGATAGAATTTGACACCCTTCATGTCCTTCGAGGGACTTTCTGAGCCACTTTCCGAGCCAAGCCACTTTTTGAAGAGAGATTTACAATTGACCTAATCGGTTCCAAAATAGCGAGGACATCTTCCTCGGCAATTCCTAACAGCTGTGACATAGAAAATGCACTTAGCGGCTCGCGTGCTGCAATGATTGTGCCAACCACTTGGTGATACTTCTCGGCTATATGTGGAGGAACTCCAGATGAGTCGAACATATAAGCACGGCGAAGTATGCGCAAGTACTCTGAGTTGACGTCAGTGGGAGCATCGGCGAGATCACGGATGTATTCGAACTCCGATCGAAGGGTTGCTCCACGACGAGTTCGAACAGAAACATCCCGGACTCGGGTTGAGGCAATAATCGGCAACCCACGACAGGCCGAGGCAAATGCATCGATATCCTCTTTTGACGGCTTCCAGGCAGACTTCTCGATGCAACCCTGAAGGCCTTCCTCGACCATGCGGCGGATAGTGTGGAACTTCTCGCCCTTCGCGATAGCATCTACATTTTCATATGGTATGACAAGGCCCTGAGCCCGGGCCTTATCCCAAGCCGACATGACCGATGACTCTGGACGACAGCTGACAAACACAGCAAACGCGGCTGGCAGCTCATCGAGGATAAACACTAGCTTCATTAAAGACTCAAGTTCTTCCTGAGCCCCACACTCGTCTAGTCCATCCAAGACGATGATGAAGCGCTCCTCGCCCAGAGATAGAAGTTTAAGCATGGGTTTGACGATCCAAGCTCTCATCTGCTTTTCCAGAGTGGAGCCTAGAATATCCTCCAGTGAAGAGGGCTGTCGAAGCTGATTGACAAGAAGACTCTCGTACTCGGTGTTAAACAACGCGAGCTGGCGTGCAAGAGTAGAGGGAAAGTGCTTAATCGAATCGACTCCTGTTCCCACTTGGTTTTTGTCCCAGAAGAAAGACGCTGCCAAGCGGCGCCGTTTGGCAAGTGTTGAGGCAACACTCTTTGATATAGCAGTCTTTCCAGTGCCGGGGGAGCCACGAAGCCAAACAAATCGGTGCTCCCGTTTCTCCAAGTGATCGAGTATTAATTCCTGAATCCGGACCCGAGTGTTTTCCAGGCATTCCGACTTGCTTTCCACGGCAGAGTATTCCGCGTTCGCTTTGTAGAGTTTCGAGAGTTCATCTGGAATATCATTGAATTCTAAGCAGCGAAAAAAAAGGGAATGCAACGAACAGTCCACCGATAACCGAATTGTGTGGAAGAGATTCAGAGTTGTCGCCGCAGTCTATGGTGCATGCCCAAGTCAGTTAACGGACTATCTGAACACTGAGGAAACAAACCGTGAAACGGGAGACAGCATTACTGATACAGGACTTCACCGCGCTTATCTCCTGAGATATCTCAGTCGCTAGGATTACCCTCTTGGCAAGCTTTCGACGTTTGAGTGCTTCGATTTGCCTCAATTGCTTTCTTAGGGCCCTGTTACCGGGATGTGAGATTTGGACGAGAGAGCGATAAAGTGAATGCACTTACAAGTTAAATTGTTGAATTAGCTCACGGATTTCAGGAGGGACTCGGCCAGTCCACAGCTGGAGAGGCCTAAAGATCGTTTCGTGAGCATTTCGAACTTCATCGTCCAATCCTTTGAGATTTTCGTCATTGTTGTCGAGGTCTGCATGAAAACGTGAGGTTATATCATTAGATCGCAAAATCGCGACGCCCTGCGAACCTCGTAAGCTTGGAGCCATGATAGGAGTATATTTGGTATTTGATCGAGATTCGGAATGGGGGCTAACTTAAGAGCAGAGGCGGCGGTTTGGAGGACGAGCCTTGTGGCGGCGATGATTGTTTTCTTTCGTTCACCAGCAGGGACGGCTGAAGACGACGGCATTAGATCTATTGGCGTATCTAAGTTCACGCCTGTGCGTTGTGGTTGTGGGTGGGGAGTCTCAGTGTTGCCATGGATGCTGCGCCCGCTGGGTATTGTGATATCGATGGTCCCCTCAGGGGGGACTGGAGATGGTGATGGATTAGGGGATGGCGGATCCGGTGTAGAGGGGACAGATCGTCTGGGATGGGAGGCCGATTGGCCGGTGCGACGGTTAGGATTGGGACTCAGACTCCTTCTGAACATCTTAGATATAGCGTGCCGAAAAGACCTCCGCTGCTCTAGATCTTGAGAACTGCCACCAGTTGATGCAGTACCACTAGGAGGCTGAAGATGAGATCCCTCAGATCCATCACGATCTCTGCTAGTAGTTGCATCGTTTGCAGTGGGGGAAGAAGTGATCTGGATGGTGGGAGCGGCAGTCGAGGGTTGCAAAGGACCGCCGGGACGCTTCCGTCTCTCGAAAAACCGAGAGAGCCCAGATCGGCCAGACATCGTGCGTTAGCAATCGCTGAGGGGGTGCCGAACAGATGAGACAGGCACGCTGCTCAACCCACGACAAATAAGGCAGTGTCCTAGCCTCTACCAAAGCAGGACAGCGAATACAAAATGCCCCTTGTGGGCAGAGCGCCGGGACGTTAGCCACGCTACCCAAATCATTCGGCTCGATAACAAAGCCAAAGAAATCTACCAATGTTAACTACGCGCCTTCGGGCATTTTGCAACATGGGAATCGGCATCTCAGTTGGGAGCCCTTTAATTGATAAGCGCTACGTTCCTTTTTCGGTCAAGCGCTCAACTTCTCTTAGATAAAGCTGAAGGCGATGAGAATTCCGTTGTCGCGTTCCTGTTCTTTCTTCTACGCTGTCAGAACTGAGCGCGACCATCGCTAGTCATCCAGAAAACCAAGGGGGCACTACCCAGATGTTCAGGGTTGATACAAACTTGCCTTCAGCATTTTAGAAACAATTTATGGCGTGTGAACTCTCGCGGCCCCGGTGGCAGTTTTTGCCACTGAAGAGGGGGTTTAGCGAAGGACCCCGCTAATTTTCAGTCCCAGGGGGCAACTTGAAGGAGAGAGAGATTAAATATTGGATTATCAGGACTTGTAAATTTGATACAAAGTGTCCGAGTGAGAATGTAAGCCATATCGTCCATGCATGAAGGGGTCAAATACTGCTTAGTCACAGTCGTTGAAAGTATCACTGTGCTTGTGTAAGTAGGATGCGATCTATAGCTGCGTTGATGGTCGTCTTCCGAGCCGTCAAATCTATCCCAAATGACTCCTCCAGGCGGGAACGAATTGCACGCTTAGTGCTGACGTTGAGATCAGCATCGCGCAGGATCTCCTGTACTGCACGCTCTAGTTCTGCGTCGGATGGTTGTCCGCTAGGCGATCCTAAGAAGTCGCCGCTAAAGCCACCACCACCAATGTCAGGTAAGTACGATGTTGTGGGGCGCGACTGGACGCCAGCCATGGACTGTCGCCCCAAAGTATCAGCGTGGGCCTGGGGGAATCCGTATGTCGACGGTTGACGTCCATTATAAGAAGGTGCAGGAGAGTAAGAGCGGGAGTATGGGACTTCATGTGCGTCATAAACAGTCTGACGACCGTATATTGATGCCGTAGGAGTATGATATCCATCCTTGCCCTTGGTTGGCGGCACCCATGATCCTACACTGTGATTGGACTCTTTGTCCCATAACTCATTTTCCTGCCGGGACATGGTAATCAGCTAGATACGCAAAATGTAAACAATAAGGAGCTCACGTAGTCTGTCCATGACTTCAGTGGAATAGAACGGGGATCGAATTTCCCTTCGTCCTGGAAACGCTGTGGGTCACTGGACAACCAAAGAACGAGACATCGGAACTTACGTGGATCACCAACTTCTTACCCTTTTCACCCATAACAATACGGGTCTGACCCCATGAGAAGTCGTCCATGCGCCAAAATGCATAGAGTGGGAGGTAGAATGAGAAGACAGGAATAGCAAGAATATAAAATAGCATCCAGCCAATCATATCCCATTTACGACGGAAGATGAAGACAAGCGCTTGAAGGCCATATATAGCAGCTAGCATGATGATGGAAAACAGAGGCACCGACTCATGTTTCCCAACCACCAGGTATATCAAATAAACGATCTGAACAAGTCGGGATGAATAATGCGCCATATAGACCGGAGAGACGCGGGGACACTCACGTAAGCGACTGTAACAGGCTGAATGATGGTTGACAGGAGATCAATAAAGACAATGAATCTCATGGAAAAGCAACAGAAACCACAAAGTTGATCCAAGAAAACCAGTTCGGCAAGATTGTGTACCGTAGAATTGATCCAACGGCGACGCTGCGATAATAAGATCTTCCACTCCTCAGGAGCGATAGTATAGGCATGGGCGTCTCTGACAAATTGAGTTTTGTAATTGGGAAAATGCTTCAGCAACAACGTTGTGAGGTATCGGTCTTCTCCAAGATGAAGCAGGTTCTTCATGTGCAAAGTGTCAACTCGGTTTTCTGAGTAATCCTCGATGACGGCATTGGAGATGAAGAGTGGTTTGTGTGTGTCTGGCGTGCGAAGACGGTACATAGTGAAACACCCAGGCAAGCAAGTCACCGATCCGAAAAGGGACTCGAACGACTTCGCCAGATGATGGGATATGAAATATTCGTACACCTATAGCAGAAGATTGAGGATTTTTGCAACCGACAAAAGCACAACTACTTACCTGCATCATAGTGACAACAGACCGCTTCTCGTTTGAGAGGGATGTCTCGCCACATACACCAAGTACCTTCTTGTCGTGAATCATGCTACATAACCGCAGTGAGAAATGTCCATGCTGCAATGCCAATGTCTACTTACGCCGAAACGAGCCGGTTTAGAGCGAGGGGCTCTACAGTCGTATCGGCATCCACCATGAAGATGTACTCATAGAAGGAGGGATTCACTCCGATGACATTTTTGATCTGATGATACATTTCAAGTTCGCAAGGATTCATGGCTGAATTGAAGTGAACCTGTGGTTGGACAATGAGTCCAGATCAACACTCGTGGAAATAAGTGGGTTGCAGGACTGGCCTTATTCAAGAAATGCATTAACACCATCTGCGAGTCTCGTTTTCCTCTGTTGCCGGGGCGGGACCTTTCCGTTGGTTTCCCGACCTTGACAAGGACCACATAGGGCACCACATGACCAGAACACTCGTAAAGACCAGAATACACCTTGCCCATATTATGCTGCTTTGCTCCTTCTCCCAACGACAAAAAGCTAAGGGGTTCGGGGTCCAAGTTTGGGTCTGCTCCCAGTACGTCCAAAACAATCCGAGGAGTAGGACGATCGTTTCCGGAACCGACAATGTTACCGTCGCAAATGATGAAGAGCAACTTGCGTTTGTCGTCGTATCTCAGTTTCGCCAGCGAATCGATAGTTCGGCGAACGGAATCCTCATCTTCCGTATAGACAGGCACTTGGCAGATGACAAACTTGTCATGGTCTTCGGGTCTACGCGGCGAGGCGAATGTGATAGAAGCGATGAACTTGAACCCAATTACTGCAACCATCACCGCTGATAAAGCCAACAAGATATATGTGGAGAATAAACATTGGGGAGAGTTACGATTATCGACCTTGCCGATCAGGAACAAATTACGGAGACAAGTCTGCATGCGAGCGAAGGTATCGGAGTCAATCTGTAGATTATTGAGTTTGTTCGTGATATCCTGGCCGTTGTTGTAGCGGAACAGATCGACGACAGTAGATTCCATGAAGAGCGTCTTGATTGAGTTTGGATCCTGGACTTGTGTTCCATCAGGTGCGTGAACCACCGGCGGGAAGTTAATATAATCCGACAAGTCATAAACCATGCCATTGTACACAGCGACGGCGCGACCTTTGCTGGCCAAAGATCGAATGGCAGAGGCAGTGTAACCAACGAACCCTACACGCCAGTTATAACGCATGAGGATCATCATTTCGAAATACCAATCAGGTCGATAGTCATATTGATTAAACGCTCTGAAGTCGTGGTACTGAGCTTCGACATTCACCGATTGGTTTGTCGAGCTCAGGAGAACGTAAGGGTTGACTGGGCCATTCACACCTTCACAGAGGGCGCTGACCTTCATATTCGTGTCAGTCGTACGACAATGGAAGAGGTCCAACATTAGGAACCTACTTGAACAGGGAATAGAGAGGTAGCATCAAGACCACCGTATTTCATGACCGTCTTTTGAGGTATGACACTGACTGTGGTCACATGGGTTTGCATGATGCCTGTCAAGTCGAAAACCTCCCCGCGGATCGCAGTATACGTGTGTTTGGGATCGTTGTTGTAGGAGTGAGATTTGAGCTCTGCCGGGCTGAACACGTATTCGTGCGGACAGATAATATATCCAAGGATAGCGATGACGAAAATCGCGCTGGCACAAACAAACCAAATGAGGATGTTGATTGCCAGCTTTTCGCGCCACGCTTGTCGAATATCCATACGCTTCATACGGCCAATGTACGTGAGGAGGGGTGTGGGAAGCCACCATGTCAGCAGCCAAACAAGGGCAAGCCAACGGCGGCGAGCGGACGAGTCATGAACTTCCTCTGCAACTTCATTCTGAAGAATATCGCCGGGCAACGGGTCCTTTTCTGCTTGAACCTTCCGAGTGTTCTGGAACATATTTCTTGAAGGTGCATAGGATTCACTCCCGTAATTGCTTGCATCTTCCTGTCCACTTGTGATACGGCTGTGCTGATCGAAATCGTCACTTTGCAATGAGCGTCCGTCATCATCATCTCCATAGAGCGCGCGACCAACAAAGGGTTGACCCTGAGCATTGGAAACGAGAGGCAGAACCTGACTGGAGTTGCCAAATGGGTCATTGTACCCCGTTACCGGTGATCTGTCTCCATCCTCCCCATCAGGTCCATGCCCGTATGGACCATATTCATCCGTTCGAACGTCAAGGAGACCCGCCTGAGCTTCTGCCACCCTCAGCCGATTTCGTTTTTGCTCCTCCGCATCATTAGCCCTCAAGTAGTCTTCCATCTTGTGGAACGCGACTTGACTTAAGAAAACCTGAAAACCATAGCTGAGTCTCGAAGACGCCAATAATCAAGTCCGACACACCTTATGATTTCCCACAACCACGTCTCGATCGGATAACCCGAGAGCTTCACGGACGGCCCGGACGTTGCCCACGGGATCATCTTCAGGTGACAGTCCAACTTCTCTAAGCTGGTCACGATAGCGATCACAGAACTCGGCGGGGGTCATGCTAGCCTCGATGACAATTCCATTTTTCCGGGAGACCTCTGACAAGCCAGCGCTGCGAATCTGAGCCTTAACCCCACGAGTTTCAAGCTGGTTTGGTAGTTGTGCATCATTCGGGTTGATGCACATTACGGACCAGGGATTTGTCTCGTCGAGAGTTTCGAAAAGCACATCTAGAGCGGTTTTGAACTCCCCAGCGACGCACTTGATGCCCTCGGTATCAGCAGGACCTTCATCTGCCTCCTCTTCAATTGTCACCTCGGGCTTTGGCGCTTCACCTGCAGGTCTGCGTTTCACAGTACCCCTCTTCTTCATGGACGGGGCCCGCATGGGCTTGACTGGCTGATGTGCGGCCACGATCGTCTCATCATGGCGAGGGTGTGCTTCAGTCGCAATGGATTTGGAGGAGAAAAGAGCTTGAATGAAATGATTGGAAGAGCCTGAGCTCTCGCCGCCCATGGTACGACCGCCTTCGGAACTGCGTCTAAGGAGTGATACGAAATCGGGATTGAATGCTGCGGCATTCTTCTCGAGGAAGGATTCGGCTGAGTAAGTAACTGGACCAGCATAATGGCTAACAGTGAACGTCGGGAAACCCGAATGATCCATTCCTCCCAATCTGAACGAGGTGTGATTGCCCCAGCGCTTGGACATTGCTTCGATCATGGTGTGATCGGTTTTCTTCGGCATGCGCCTGACCTGGTCATCCATGATATGGATGATGCCTCCAGGCATGGTCGACAACATTCGAACGCATTCAGAATTGTCGAAGTAAGGAACTGTAGGGAAAACGCCAGAAAGACCTTCGGACACAAACTCGTCTGCGTGTCGATCGAATATTTGCCGGCGTACCCACTGATGCAGGCGTTCATTGGCATAGTTTATGCAGAACTGATCGAGAGAGTTGGATCGACTAGGCGAGGAAGTGATATTCTGGAATCCCGGGAAGTCGAGGAAACCGACAAATGTGGTATAATCGTCCCTGCACAGTTTCTGATTGATAAATTCATTTAGCCAGGAAAAGAGAAGCGAGTATAAATTTTTAGCGAGGTCGTCACGATTATCGGAGGCTCCTTCGGGGTCTAGGAAGATCGTACACAACTCCTTTTTGACAAGTTTAGTCTTGTACGACAGGACAGACTCCAGCGATGCAGCAGAGACTCCCAGAAATTCGGCAACGATATTGAGAACATCAGTGTTGCGAACTACGGCAGCATCCTCGTTGCGATTTCGGTCCCGCGTGAACTCGATATTGCCGAGGTGGATGATGGCAGCAATGAGTTGGCAAGTCTGGGCGACACTGCGCTTTGAAAACCCAACACTTTTCAACGCATGTTTTAATCGCTCAAATTTGTGACCATCGTCCTCTTGGAACGGATTCCCGCCGCCATGGGTGAGGTAGCGGTACACTACCTTGTCGCTCAGATGTAAGTGCTGTCGCTCCTCGTTAGTGGCACCCGTAAGGAGGTAGTAGAAGATATGAAAGTTGCGTTCTCCAGAAGGCGCCCCGGCTACACGACTCTTCTCCAGGTAATAATCCAATGTCTTAGCACCATAGAGCCTTCCACGATCCGAGAATTGCAACTCGGTATACCTGCCGAAACGCGATGCATTGGGATTGAACAGAGTACGAGCATTCCCAAATGATTCTAAAATGAAGTCGGCACTGGGGATCTGGCTCGCCAACTTGGAGCCCTTCTTTCCAGGGTTACTGACGCTGAGCTCAATAACGCTTTTGATTGCAAGACGGCGACTTTCCGACTTGCCAGCTCCAGTCTCGCCACTTTAATAATAAAAGTACATGAGGATTGATAACCCAACATGAACCGAATCGATTCTCGCACCTAAACAACAAGCTCTGATCTTGCCCTGTCCGTCGCATATGATAATATGCATTGTTTGCCAATTGGAAGATATGAGGAGACCGATATTCCTTCTCCCCGCTGGTGTCTCTGTACTCGGTTGCATATTGTAGCAAAACTGAGTCGGCATTGCTGCCTACATATTTGTGGGGGTTCAGGGCAACTAAGGTAGAGGACCCTACGGAAGTGTAGATGATGTCGTTGAGAAAGCGGTCTCGAAGACGAGACACAATTGTATCATCCGAGATGGAGGGGAGGGTAGCCAGGTCGTCTTCAGACGCCCTGGCATCTGCTGTACGCGTAGTGGCCATCTCGTTGTGGGGGTGTTGGGGAGCGACGGGAAAGTGAGTGACTAGTTTCCAGTCAGGCTACAGGACGCGTTCTGGCCTGTCCCAGGAAACGTCTGGCCAGTCTGAGGACGTCAAGAGCTTAGAGGTGGTTTGGATTGTCTAAGCAAACTTTTACGTCGTCTCGAATTGACGAAGTCGAGGCCACGGCACGAGCCGAGAGTTTCAGGTGGTTGCGTAAAATGGACAGCTTCAGCCAGCCACTAAAAGCGATTCTCAGCCCCAGTCACCTCGCACAATTCCAAGACTCGGAAACATATGAGAAAGTGGTGAAATACATCGAGAGGCTCAACGATTCAGTTATTGGTGTGAAGACCAGGGATGATTGTTCCGAATCTGAGGTTGGGATGCTCTTCCTTGTGACTGCAATCCATTGCTGATAATCGACAGGGGATAAAAGCTGTTCTTTCAATACTCGACCAAGTGGAGGAGATAGCAAAAAGCACCCCGCCTGTCAATAATGCTGCCTCCCGTTTTGGAAACCCTGCTTTCAAGGACTTCTATGACAAAGTGTCGTCGGCGTGTACCCATTTCCCGATCTATCAGTCCGATTCGATCCTGACTATGTGGGTCATTGTGTAGGCCTCCTCTTCGTTACACGAACAGCTCCCAGACATACCATCCGAAGCCATCGATGAACTCTCCGTATATTTCCGAGAATCTTGGGGAAATCGCTCTCGAATTGACTACGGGAGCGGTATGGAATTAAATTTCCTCTGCTGGATGTAAGTCAGTGTGGAATCAAAAATAATGTGTGTATTCTTTTGTCTAACCATATCCCGTCAGATTGTGCTTGGAAGAGCTGAAGGTTGTACAAGAGTCCGACCACACAGCTTTGGTGATCCGCGTCTTTTGGCGTTACATCGCGGTAATGCGCATCCTACAGCAGTCATACTGGCTAGAGCCTGCAGGCTCACATGGAGTATGGGGTTTGGACGATTATCATTTTCTGCCTTTCTTGTGGGGATCTGCCCAGCTGAGAAGTGAGCCCCATCTACATGCGTCTTTATAAGACCTAAATTCCCCTCTGCCAGATCACAGATACATCAAACCAAAATCCATTCACGACACGGACATCGTTGAAGAATTCTCAAGGGATTATATGTACTTGGCGTGTATCAAGTTCATCAATTCCGTGAGTCGCCATTTGCTATTTGTGTTGCATGAAGCTACCGTTACTTATTCACATGCAAATAAACCTCAGATAAAATCAGCAACTCTGAGGTGGCATTCACCCATGTTGGATGATATCTCGGCGGTATGATCTCCGTTGCGTTCGTTCGAGGCTCAGCTGACCCCCCGTAGGTCAAGACATGGGAGAAAGTCAACACAGGAATGATCAAAATGTACAAGGCTGAGGTTCTGAACAAACTTCCTGTCATGCAGCATTTCCTCTTCGGTTCCATCCTCTCCTTCCAGCCATTGGATCCAGAGGACAAAGAGGATGAGACATTGGACGATCCTCACACTGGTCACGCCCACCCCCACGTTCACAACCACACGAATGGCGATCGTGTTTTACCAAACGGGAAAGTCATCCACCTGAACCCTTCCACTCAATACAATAATGACGGACCAGGAGCAGGTCAACTCGAGTCTGGCTGGGGCGATTGTTGTGGTATCCCTGTTCCGAGCGCCCTTGCTGCCGCGGAGGCTGAAAAGCAGAAAAATCCGAACACATTGCGGGGCATTCCAATGCGTGAAGGGATTCGGCTGGTACCGTTTGATTGATGTCTGATAGTGTTGAAAATGTCCAGATTCTTCATCGTGTTCGGGCTTTGCGTTTAAGGAAAGTTGAAACTCTCCAGACATCTTCAAGATCACCCACATCAGACCTTGTGATAAACGCACAAAGTAAAACCGGCAGCCCAATGCTACTCGGCCTAGTAGAATTATATCCATCATGGTAGCTAGCATCACAAACATTATCAAAAATACTAAATGTAGAAATGTAGTGCGGCAGCGTATGAAATACAAATGTTCCCTGCAATCTTGAGATAATCATTTTACCATCATCCCAGTCATCCATCATTCCCTCACAAAATATTGCAGACATAGCCCAAGGAGCGAAACCTCCAACGCCATCCCCAAGACTCCTTTCTCCTCGACCCACTCCCCAAGCATCTCTGTAACAGAAAGGCAATATTCTTCTCGGGAATCGGACGATGTTCGCTGATCGGAGGATGGCGCGACAGCGGGTTGGCAGTGCTGCGAATGGCGCCACGGCTCCCCACCTTGTGATCGGCTCAGCGACTCATGCAGGGCGAGCTGGACATCGGGTTGTGATTCAAATACGAATGGGGAGCCCCCCCTTTTGACCCTCCCATACATGGATGGATTGCCTCGTGGGTCCGCATCTTGGTCTCCCGAACACAAGTGATCGTCGGCTGACTGCAGCGATGGATGATTAGAGTAGTACGCCGAGTGATTTAGTGTCTCGGTTCTAATCTCTACGGGTTGAGGCGAGTGATGATGAAAGCGGTCGAACGATGAAGACCCCTTAATTGTGGAAGTTGCACTGTGAGCAATCATTGTAGGTGACGTGGAGACAAATTGAGTTGTGGAGTTGCAGGGCCCAATTACCGCTCGTCGGCCTGTTATGCGAGATGCGTCGTTCGCAGGGGACAACCAAGGTGAGGCAGGAAGATTGAGGGACATCCAACATATAGGGGTATATATATATATATATGTAGCTAGGAATGATTAGAGGGGTTTAGTTTCGAAGCTTGATTTGGGCACTGCCAATGGCCTGCTCCGAACGCAGCAATAAATGCAGAGAGAGAGGCAGTGCGGCGCGAGTGAGATGCGCAAGCCCGCGACCGAATTCAAGCCTGAACAGTGTAGCAACCGCCCCATGATACCTGTTCCATAACACCGAGACAGGAGATGATGCCAGTTGCGGCGAACGGGGATCTATAAGGCGAAGGCCAACACGGAGCAGAGGGATGCAAGCGGAGGTGCGATGCTCCACTAGTAAACAGTTGAGTCATAGACAGTGTCCCGCAGCCACGCCGGAGCCGGAGTCGCTGATAATGATTCACGTGTCGCAGACGGAGCGGTCCAATGTGGAGTGGAGAAGCCCGAACATCCATGAGCTTCCCTCGTCCATTTAACTTCGACCCCACATTTGCCCTGACAAGGGCATTAACGCAGAATCTTCGATTAATAAGAATGACACTTACTCGGTCCCCAAAGATTTACTTCCCCATAGGCTATGAAACTAGACAGGACTACAAGAATCACTCATTAGAGGCATTAGTGATTGAGGATCATGACGAGTGATGTGTATCAATACATGCCGTGGCACTGTAATCGCTTGCGGCGGAAGGGGGGCAATTCAGACGATCAGGCCTCAACGTGATGGAAACGATGATGATGAGCGGCAAGAGAGCACGGTGAGCGGTGTTATGTACGATGGGACGTCAAATGTAACTAGAAATGGCTGCTGTGCAGCCCTGACCTTGCTTATGATAAGGCTTTTGCATGTGAAGTTAGCGGAACAGGAATGTTTTCTGCCAACATCATCGATCCTTCCATCAAACTGGTAATATCTTTCTGCACACAGGTGTTCTTTTCCCTTTTCTCTTTGTCTGCCATGAGCACGCTACATTCACCATTACCTGCCACCAGTTAGCTTTGCCAATGCTCTTCATTCCCCTAGCTTTATCTGATTAAACGAATGTACTTTGCACTTCTTATACCCCATCAAACCAACTGGTGTCATGTTGTCTCGTGCCCACTTTACACTGGCGTATGATTGGTGGATGCCACCTGTGGTGTTACAAAAATGGGGCCGGAAGCGCCCATTTTCATCTGTTCTGGCACAGGAATAGGGAAGGGGGTTGGACATAAGGGTTTACAGGTTGTTTCACAGATGGTTTGACATGTAGTTGAACAGGTAGTGTGGCAGCGGGTTTTTGTTGATTATTGATTGGATAAACTCAATTACTCTACAAATCATGTGATACAGAACCCATAAGAGTCTAAAATGGGAAATTCCCATTTCCATAACATGTGGTGGCAAGAGCCCACTAAGTACTTTTCCAAACTTTGTTTTTCTTATCCGATTCTGGCTCATCGTTGGCCACAAGATCAAGGGGAAGAGGGGAAAGGGATGGGCGAAATGTGGCAAAGGCTAGAGGGACAATGAGATCCGTTGGAAGGGACTTCAGATAGCGCTTGCATGCGAGCTCATACAAGCGGACCATAGGTGTTATGGAAATGGGAATTTCCCATTTTAGACTCTTATGGGTTCTGTGTCACATGATTTGTATAGTAATTAAGTTTATCCAATCATTAATCAACAAAAACCCGCTGCCACACTACCTGTTCAACAACATGTTAAACCATCTGTGAAACCACCTGTAAACCCCTATGTCCAACCCCCTTTCCTATTCCTGCGCCAGAACGGACGAAAATGGGCGCTTCCGGCCCCATTTTTGTAACAATAGGAATAGAAGTCCACTCAGCATAAATGGCATCCAGCCACTCAAACACATCCTTACATGTGTTATACCCGACACCCTTGTCCCTATAACTCCACAAAGCCTTGCGACGCACGATCCCAATGACAGCATCGATATATTCACATGCAGAAATCCACCATCGCGTGCGATCACCCAAAACAACAGCAGCCTTGAGATTGTCAGCAAGGACTCCTATTGCATTGTGAGCCTTCTCTATCACCTTATCGCATTCAGGTGTCTCCCAGTATTCCTCACCGCCCCAAGGCAGAATCATCCGGGGGGAGATCCCTACCATCAAGCCAGTACATGGCGAGTTTCCACAGCCGTGCGCGAGAGAGTGTGTCAGAGGGCAAATACACAGGTAGAGTGCCGTCAGCGCGTGAATATCGTGTGGGGCTGGACTAGGATGTGCTGGCACAAGTTTCTCAGCGTGCGCAGGCGCAAATATCGCGTGTGTTGCCAAAAAAGCAGGTGGGGGATGTGGAAGATGTGTGTGGAAGGCCCAAAAGTCGTGGGTCTGAGCCTGGGGAGCCGTGAACACAGAGAAGAAAGCGGAGTAGGTGCAAGCGCATGTTTCTAGGTGCGCGCGGGCGTGTGAATTTCGAGTGAGAACGGCTTAATCAGCACAGGCGCGTGTCTGAGAGTCGCACACGTGTGGATTGCACGTAAGAAAGGTTTCTAGAGCATACAATCGCGTCTGCAGAGATGCGCGTGAGTTTCAAACTGAGATTGGAATAATGAGTGAAGAGGAATGCGCAGTGAGCCAAACTCGTACTTACAGGAGCCGACTGGGTGTCTGAAGTCTGAGTTAACATAGTTGTAACAGTTTTAGCTACAAGCGCTCAAAGATAACAATCGATTGTTTGCAGAGGGGCCAGGTGGCCTGCCTTACCGGTACGATAGTGAAAGTGGTCCGAATTATATGTCATATTGTCATGGTGACCCTAGGTTACAGAGGATCTTGTGCACAGCACCTTTGGGGCCTAAATTTGCGCTACGGAGTTTGCGGGACAAATGAGCCAGAAAGATCCGTCGGAGGAAAGGACACGTGCAAAAAAGCGGTCAATACATTTGCAGAATTCCCACCAATATATTTGCAGAATTCCCACGAATTGTGGACATGCAAGAGACCTTGCAAGCAAGGTAACTCAACTAATGACGCATAACACATCGACCATTTGTGGAAATACGAACAGTCAATTTCATCTGTTAGGGGTAGCCGCCCTGTTGTATTATAATTCACTTCGGGGTTTGCGCCATCACCGGCCCACAAAGCCCTGAATGCGGGCGCTTAATGCATGCAGTTACGAAGGGTCTAGATCAATACATAATTGAAAAGTTTGCCAAACGCAGAACTGCCGCGTTCAGAACACTTTCTACGTATTGGCTTGGACTCTATGTTGAAAATCTTGGTTTTTCTTGGGAGTTATAGTGCGCTGTGGCCAACTCACAGTGTGATGTTGAGCTTGCGGCGCTGTATTTCCTTTCTTGGTATTCCTGCTACCAAAGTCAGTGCGCCATTGAGGCGACTCACAGTGGGAAGTAAATCGCGGTAAAAAACACCCCGCAACCCGAGTATTTTACAAAAACGCGGTATTTTACCTATGGCAATTTGACCCATGGGAAAGACCTGGTTGGAAAAATACCTGGGTTGTTGCGCTCAGATTCCGCACGGTCGGTGCTTTACTTTGGGAAACCATGGTTCTTATTAAGTACGGATCGTGATATGCTGCAGTCGAATACGAAGACGGTGTTGTTGTAATACATGCTTTGATTACTGAATAGTACTATAGCCTAACGTTGCTGGATGCCCCATCTCCTAATGGCAGCATTAAGATCGACAATTTTGCCGCTCGGCCCTCAAATGGATAGCACAACCAGATAGGGAGATTCTGAGCTAGAATCCCACATATTACAACCGCAAGGAGATGTTAATGAGGTCTATGGATGGGGAGGGGGTTAGGCAGGCGACCAGCTTTTATTGGAATAGGAAGGGGGTGTTTATTGACTGGCGACTCTCATTTATTTTTGTTTGTCTCGAGTGGAGACTTAGGACTTAGCTTTTCTCCCACCACATCACGCGCGGCAGCGTATCCTACTGCACTGTACCCTTGACACGTCTGCAAGGCCCATCGAATGGGGACATGAGTGATACCCTATGTGAGTGGGTGTGTCCATATGACCAGACTCTAAGATTCCCGATCCTAAAGTCACCTTCGCTTCTCTTTCACTTTGCGATCAGCTGCACTCCCCGAGCCGCCACATGTGCTATACTATGCTTCAGGGTTATCTGAGAGACAGGCCACCAGAATTTTCCCCATCGGGTGGTGGATCGTCGCGCGATCGATAGACAGGTACTACATTCTACGTTCTCTGAGTTATCCATTCTGGTGCGATACCACAATCTTTTCAGCACTCGTCTCATGCTTCTTATCATACAGGCACTGCTCTTGCTCGCTTCTCGCACGTTCACTTTGGTGGGAATCACGGTGCATCATGTCATATTCTTCCCGTTTGCACCATCCAATTCGCTTTCTCCGTTCGCACCATGCTGTATAGCCTTCTTGTATTAACATAAGTAAGTAAAATATGTTCCTATCATCCTGAATACAATGGTGTCCAAAGTAAGAAACTACGGAAAAGCATAGTATGATACCGTGGTACAATAATGCCGCGCGCACGGTAAAAAACATGAGTCAGAACTTGGGTATTCCACTGTAAATTACACGGAGAGTAACACACCTGGAAAACCCTTGGTATGATACCTTGGGGCCACAGGTAAATCTTCAACAAATCGTGTTAGGGGAACCCCGGTGATGATAAAGCTATCTTACAGCAAGGTGCAAAATTATCGGCGCATCAAAATTTAACATACATGGGGGTAGTTTAGCGGAATAACAATTTAGGAAGAAATTGGGCGTCAACCAATGTTTCCCAATGGCACCGCTTCACTGAAACCAAACATGGTAGGACCTTTGACCATAAATATCATGGTGTTCACCGCTGTCACAGATAACATTACAATAATATCACCATGTTCACCGCTGCCATAGATAATATTATAATAAATATCACCATGTTCACTGCTACTCCGCTATTGCAATGGGTAAGCATCTAGCGCCCTCCGCTAAGGACCTCATCATCACTATGTCTGAGACCATGAGCACATGGGATATCTCATTGGCAATAAATGTGCCCAGACGCACGATCCAGCGTATTCTTCAGGACCCGGAGAGGCATCATCGTGAACCTCTTGCTGAGACTCGTGGCCGGCC